AATAGAGACAATAACCGGTTTATTGAGTCATAATAAATTTTAAAGTTTATTTTCTTTTAAATAAATACTTTTCGTTTTGTTTAAATGTGTTACGAGACTGGTAAAGTATTTTGGCATAACGAACATTTACCGGCTATACTCGTGTGGAATACCGATGTATGTTAGAGCTACAGCTATTTTGGTATTCTAATATTGTTTAACATTATAGCTACTATAACCTTTTCCATGAGACTTAGAGAACCTTACAAGTTAAGTTTATTCCAAAAGGTTTTAATTTTTTTTTTATGAGCAGTACGTTATTGTTATATTAATTATAAACAATTTACCTTTCCCGCAATATCCAACAAATCATCAGATTTACCGCGTCTGTCCATCTCAACACGGATGCTGTTAATATTAACTTTGGATAGGAAATTGCCCAGCTCTACTTGACCTGTTGGTTTCGGCCAGAGAAGTCCTGAAAATGATTTTCAATACAATATCTCTTACTTACAACTTTTTAGGAATATAGAAACAAATACAGTAATATAATAGATATTTGATATTTAGATTTTTCCTGTTCAGACACACTGGAAACAGAGCAGGTGCGGCTTGTGATGCGGCTGAAAAAGCTAAAGCCTGCAAATACAGGGGTCACGGCTCCGAATATGATTTTATCCCATTCGGTGTCGAGACCCTTGGTCCGTGGGGTCCTAGCGCTATAAGGCTTTTTAGGGAAATATCAAAAGGTTAGTCGACGTCACAGGAGACCGAAGAGCTGGCAGCAACCTCGGACAAAGAATTAGTCTAGCTATTCAAAGGGGGAACGCTGCCACTATCTTCGGAACCTTGCCTAAAGTGACTCCTTTTAATAATATATTTTAGTAATTATATTTTAAGTTTCTTATTGTTCTTTTTTTTGTGTTTATTACACAAGCATTATAATTTATGTTTTTAAATAAATATTTGGTTACATGTGTGTGTGAATCGGACAGACTTTATAACAAGTTTTCATATAAAACTTTAAGTATTCAATTTTATGGGCAGCTTCTGCAGACGTCGCTGTATCTATTGATAAATTGAATGTTTATTTTTGATCCGGAGAGGCAGTAATCAGTTAATTATTATATAAAATGGTCATATGACATTGTTACGATACTTGTTCTCACTGGATTACTTAATCCTCACGTAGACTTTAAATCCGGTATAACGTTATCCACTTACCATTATCGTTGCAGAACATTTTGCAGGCTTCCAAGCAGAGGGCCGACTCCTTACTGCGCGGGTCATGTTCAGTCTTCACGCATTTTCCATCGTCACAGGTCCATCGCCATGGGGACACTTGATCATCAGCTGTGCTGGCACTGAAAAGACACGTTCTAAGTATTGTCTAGTAGCTGCAAAGTGCAAACCCTTCATTTAATGTAGTCAATTTGTTATTAAGCGTTGTTTAACCACAATTTATACCATAGTTATACTCCGGTTGCCTGGAAGATATTTAATTAGCGATAGGTTACCCAATATGTAGTTTTTATAAATTGTGCGTTCTCCTTATAATTTTAATAAAAATATCAAATTAAAAGCCATAATAAAATCTTTATAGTGGTTAAGATGATGTCATATCTTCATGGCCCGCATTAAAGATTAACAGTGACATAGAAAGGTGCCCCATTATGTTGGTGAAACAGATAAGTCGCCATTTATCAAAACTGAATTAGAAATTTCATGTAAAACAAATGGGTAACAAATGCAGGAAAATCCGTAGTAATCGCAAGCCACGCAATGTTAGTTCACAAATACGGGTAGGTAGGTACTAAATGAAATAATCACCGCTCGTGTGAAATCCAATTAAAAATTAGAAGCCGTATAATGGTCACCCATTTCTAGTTCAGTGTAACAAAAATTGTTATAAGTACAATGAACCAAATGTCATAAAAAACCTAAAAGAAATTTTGCTAAACAAAAATGTCTCTCACATCTTCCTAAATTTAGCTGTAAATGTAATTCAAAAATTTGTTAACAGAAATAAGTAATTTAATAATACTATTTATATTTGCTAATGATAATATATAAGTTACTCAATATCCCCACGACATGATAGTCGGGGAATTAGCCAAAGAATATTTTTTTTTAATATTTATAATTGCTAGAAATAAACACTGTACTATACTAAACATTTCCGTTTGACCAATGATGATCAATCGCCATCGTTTTGTCTTTTGTTTTACATTTTCACAATAATAAAAGATTCTGCAGACACAGCATAAAGAATCATGCAAATATGTGCCATTGACAGTTGCCATCAGAACTGGTGTGATACTAAGTAAAGACAATCAATAGTTATAATTTGTTTGAAAATATGGTGTTCAAACCTCGAAATTGTTGAGATTCGCAATCCAAGAGCCTTTTACCATAAGATTAGTAACTAGATACTAACAAATAAATAGGAATCGTACACAACCTAATAAATATAACTTTAGAACCATAATACCTATAGTACCACCGATGTATTTCCGAACCAATTAGACTTAGGGTCCGTCATGAAAAGAGCGTACCAATTCTTAAAAGGCCGGCAACACACTTGGCGAGCCATTTGGCACATTTAGTGTCTATGGGCAGCGGTATCACATAACATCAGGTGAGTCCTTTAAATAAAAAAACAAAAAAAAGTTGCAGTAAGACCGCGATATATGCTAGGTAACATTTAGTTAACGAGAAACCTTAAAAAATTTTATGAACATAAAACATTCCCACGTGTACCAATAATTACATTGATAAAAGAGATTTACAGCATTTTCAATACATTGTTAATTACAGTACTTACAGCTTTATTTTATACCGAAATAGTTAAAACTCTTTGGGAATATCACCGCTATATTAAATCTTTTGTATGTACAAATAATACTCGCGGGATTAAGTTTTAAGTAATTAGATTTTTAGTAATAAATGCGGCGGTACCTTTTGGTCGCTGCATACAAAACAATGTGTTACGAAATGCAAATTTTAACGGTTTCAAATTTTGGATGAGAATAAGCGTAGTTTCAAAACTATTAAACCTGATTTATTTATAGCGGACGGAACAAGTAGGTGGTATTAAAAATTCCACCGTAAACCGCAGATTGAAGTGTCGAAAAAAAACCTACGTCCTCTATGGCACTTGCAAGCTAAAACCTTTTGAGCAGCTGGTAAAAACTAGTACATACAACATGCTTTTATTTTAAAACTTACCATTGCAGAATTATAAGAAGTAAACAAACGACGTAAACATAAATATAGTGGAGCCACATATTAATCTGAAACAAATGAAATATAGATTGATAACCTGTTTTGTTAATTAAGCAAATGTTAAATATTTACTACTAACATAACTTGAAACTAAGAATTCAGTCAACATTTAAGATAGATTAAAAAATAACTTTGAAAATAAAACAATTCATATAAACTAACGTGTTTTATGTACCCTATGAATTGCTGTCTACCCTACATTACGTTTCACATACCAGAACTAAATCGATGAATGAGAATAATTAAAAAAAATACAAAACAGCAACGAAGGTTGAGTACAGGATAATATTAAAATAAGGCAAACATCCTTGTACAATAGCGTTGACTAAGAAAACTATTGCATTTTCAACAAAAATAAATGTATATTAATTTTATGTATTTAAATTCATAATAGAAACATGGCTATGTAATGTTTTACTACTTTTGATAGGTATACATCGTAAAATAAATAGGTACTTACGCTGTAGGCGTCCACTTAGCGTCACGAATATTGTAACTGTGGATAACTGGTACCGAAACCGTGGCTTGCAAATTGCGTCCCACGTTGACCGGTCAACGCGCGAACCCACACTTGTCTTGATTCGCAAACAGTCTTCTGTATTTGAAAAATAAAAAGTTATATAGGTATATATCTATATATATATTTTTTATGACCGCGTTAGTGGCGCAAATAATAGAATTAGAAATGGAGTAATTTATGAAGCCAATTGTTATTATTATAAAGTTTTCAAGGAATGTAAAATACGATAGATTTGTAATAATATTGCTTCCCATCAGGATTTTTTTTTCGATTATATATTATCTATTAAAGTAAACTTTAAACTACTTACTAGGTCTAACTAATAAATCATCATAAAAAAATACTAAATAATGTAGATTATCAAATAAATGTATAAACTCTTGCAAAAGAAACGGGCACCTAAATATCTACGTCGCCAAAACTGTACGAGCATTGTAATTTGTAGTCTATAAAAATGAAATGGATTTTTTACTTTCTTTAATTAAAAAAGTAAAAAAATCTTTTTGTCTTTATTGGCGACCACTTGCTGTTTCGCTGTGTATATCGGTTTAAAAGAATTAATTAAAAAATTGCCAAATAAATAAAGTGAATTTTACGCGTATAACTTTACACGATTATAAGTATATATACTACGTCAGACAATTTAATTTAATTTAGTAAACGAGATCCAAAATTGACCTTAGAACGTAAATAAGGTGCGCGTTTTTTTTTGCAAAAGAGTTACGTTTACAGTCAAATAGAAAGAGTTTGAGACGTACGCGTACTTAGGTACGCGTTAGTAATACTAATTAGTACGTATATACTAGAGTGCGCTGCACGGCGCAATCAAGTTGTAATTCGCTTTTGATAATTTTATCCTTACTTCATTTGACGTTTTACTTTTGAAAGTAAAGAAGGAATTTTGTTGTGAAAACGTAGTTTCTGGTTATAATGTTATATGTTTTAAACATTTTAGATACAAAAAGTATTATTTACCACCTTACTTTCAAGTTTCTAAAGACAATTTACATTGTGATGTTTGAAAAGTGACAATTGACATTACCAATTTACAACATTGAAAAGGAAAACAGTAAAGTTATATACAATATAGTATATACATGGAAACCGAGAGAATAAAAAGCAAACAAAATTTACTTTCTCCGTGAATAATATTATACCGATTTAAATTTGACATTATCTTACCTCCAACGAAAGTAGTGTTTCGTATTTATTAAAAATGGATCCTGCCCTGCTTCGAGAACGTGAGGCGTTTAGGAAAAAGGCTCTTGCGACACCAAGGTATATTACATACTTGTTGAATGGTTGTTAATCTACTACTGTACCTACAGCATTACTTTCGCGCAACTCACTCCCACTACAAACTTTAACATTTCTCTTGCAAGCTGATGATAAGCTTGATATTTACAATGATGATTGATAATCATGTTATATTTATATCTTACACTCCAAATCTTGTGATGTTATTGTTTTGAGTTAAAAACATTAAGAGATCACCAGATTTTAATATATCTTCAGGTTAAATCAAATTAGAAAGTTATTAAGATAGAAACAATGGCCATAATTTTTATAAAATTTGAAGGTTTATAAATTTGAATAAGATATTATTTTACAGTGTTGAATTCAAGAAAAAGAAAGATGACTCCCCGTTCAAAGATGATAGTAAAAAGAAATCTAAATCCAGCTCTTCTGCTAGTTCTGCGCCAAAGCTTGATGCCAACAAGTAAGTTTTCATTTTGATGTAGAAGTCAAATTAAATTTGCTTAATATATTTATATTAAAATTAAAATAATGTTACAGTTACAAGACTATGGCAGGCAGCTCTTCATACAGATTTGGAGTTCTTGCTAGAATTGTTAGACATATGAGAGCTAGACATCAAGAAGGGGATGACCACCCATTGTCTTTAGATGAAATTCTAGATGAAACCAACCAATTGGATGTAGGAAATAAGATTAAACAGGTAAAAATGCTATTGTATTTACAATTACTATAATTGCCTTGTTTTTGTTTGTTATTTAGAAAAATGATTGTACTAAAAGAAAATGTGTATGTGTTCTAGTGGCTTAGTTGGTAATGCATGATGAAGGTGTAATGAATTAAAGTCGGTAATGTACCACATGACCCACTTTGTATTTATAGAAATCCATGTTTTTTTTCTTCTTTGCAATATTACAAAATGCTATAAATTCAAATGATATATTTCAGTGGCTACAAACAGAGGCTTTACAAAACAATCCAAAAATTGAATGTACACAGGATAAATATATATTTAAGCCAGTATATAAAATAAAGGACAAGAAGTCATTATTAAGGTTATTTCCAATTTCTAGTCATATTGAAATTCTTTAAGGCTGACTATAAAAAAAGCAGACTGATAAAATATTGGAAGTTTACTTTTATATAATTATTTGGTGCGGCAAATAGGATATTTTGTCAAAGATAATATAATATTGTTTTTATATCTTAACTTTTTAGGTTATTAAAGCAACAAGATCTCAAAGGTTTGGGTGGAATATTTTTAGAAGATGTACAAGAATCATTACCACACTGTGAGCGGGCTCTTAAAAATCTAGCTCAAGAAATATTGTACATAACCAGACCCACTGATAAGAAAAAGATTTTGTTTTATAATGATAAAACAGCAAATTTTGATGTGGGTAACCTCATATGAATTAAATATGTATTTATTAAATTGAATTAGTGACTGTGTAAAGTGATATTTGTATTTTCTCTATATTTTGTAATAGGTGGATGAAGAATTTGTGAAATTATGGCGTGCCACAGCTGTAGATGCTATGGATGATGCCAAGATTGAAGAATATCTAGAGAAACAGGGAATCAAGTCTATGCAAGATCATGGTCTCAGAAAACCTATTGCACCAAAAAGAAAGAAAGTTTCACAAAAAAGGCGACAGTTCAAAAAGCCGCGAGATAATGAACATTTGGCAGATGTTCTTGAAACTTATGATGACAATACATTAACTCAAAAGGGTGTATCAATCAAATAAATACTTATAGTTTTGTGGTTTAAGCCTTTCTATATCCTATCCATAATCCATTTAAATTAATATAATTTGTCAATTTTAATAGAAGTAATATCAGTGAACAAACAAATAAATATATTAGGATATCGTCTTTTGGTGTTGCTTACACACTTACTATTTTGAGTAATACCTACATAAAAAAGGTAGATCAATAGGTGTTAACTTTACTAAACTACATGGAGAGAATTGAAAGTCTTGGCGCGTAAGATAACTAGATTTTGAAACCGTGTCAGAGCCATAAAGAGGAAAAAAAACTAGATTTCGATGATGGGGAAATATTAATTAGGAAAAAAAACTACATCGAATATTCGGCTTATATTATACTTATTTGTCGGGCGTTTACCATTTAAAATTATATTATCTTATTGAAAAGCTGTATCGGTATGTTTTCAGTTTACATTATAAACTAGTACCTGACCTAGTCTCAAAGGTTCTCTGTGGGTTGGCTCGGTGTGCTGTCATTAATTGTCAGTGTGTCATTACATGAATGTAACTAATATACACTAATGTTAATGGTATAAATAAAATATATTTATTGACTACTTTAAAATTATTAAAAGCCAAAAGGATATTACGGTAGTAGGATTTTATAAGTGCAAACTATAATGGATATTAGTGAAAACACCCATGTAAAGTATTCACTATCATGGAGTGACCACCTGCAAGCCGTTTCTAATGGATTATGTTCTCTACAGCAGGTACTCTTATTTCCAATATTCTAATACTTGGCTAATAATAATAAGTTATTGAAACTGCCTCATAGACTTAACAAAAGATTTAAGCTTCTGCTGAATACAGTTTGCATAGTAGAATACAGGTATTTATTCCAGCTTTAATTTATTATTAATTTTTATAAATTTAAGAGTAGTAGTGCGTTCATCGGTTATTTGCTAATAAATACAAATTTTTATGTATATTTATAATTAGAAGAATATATATCTACCAAGTTACCTCTTAAAATTTGGACGCTAGTATTTTTAATTGATTTTTGGGAAACAATTTCGGTTACTTGTTTTTTAATTAAAATTTCGTCTACATCACGGCAGTTAACATAAAGATTTTAGAAAATAACGGTGGCCGTTGCGCACCTGGCCGCACCTCTTCGCACCCAGGGGCCTGCACCTAATAAACTGTTCGACACGAACTGTCATTTCCATACAAATTAAGTTTTCGACTTTCTACATACACTACTGTTAAGGCATCTACGGCCAGGTGTGCGCAAATAAGGGTTACTAAGGGCTATTAAAGATGATAAACATTTAAGGTAGAGTGAAAGAGAGTTAACGCAACGCACATCATTAGTCAGACGAAGATACCGATTGCTGGCTGTGCGACGCTTTTAAGCCTTTGCGCAAGAGTCAAATGCTAGTATTCTCAACCAACGGGGAGTAACAGAGAGTTAATAAATACTCCAAAAAATATGTATTCCTTTTTAGCTTCAATTTGATATATAATTAATAGTAGACGATGTTTTATTTAAAAAACAAGTGAACAAAATTGTTTCCCAATAGGCAGATATATATTCTCTTAATTATAAATACAGTGTAACTTTATAACGAATTTCACAGGACCAATATTCGTTATAGGGAGTGAATAGAAAGAAAAACCAATTACAATAATTTCTAATTTTATTACTATCAATAGGTAAATTATTTTAAACACATAACGCTTTTCTTTTACTGGCCATCTTGACAGTTTCAAAGTTTGTTTATGACTGATAATTTCCTACAGGCAACGTAATCTAAGAATAATGGCACACATGTTATTTAACAATAACAAAGGCGAGACGCTGTTTATGACCTCAGATGTCTTAGAGATTTTGGCACCTCAGTCAAAGTTTAGTTTTGTAAAGCTGATTAAAAAACAATTACACATTAACATGTTTTTAGACTAAAATACAAATTTATTTTTTAGAAGAAGGATTTGTTGAATGAAAATTAGCTGCTAATGGGCATTATGTTAAAAGTACATAGAGTTGGTTAATCAATGGCAATGGCAGTCCCTATCGCATTAAAGAATCGCTGTGTACACTATAGTGCTTTCTTCATGAAGTGTAACCATACCTGTTGGGATATTTTTAAATGTAAGTCTTTACATTATTTGCAATGCATATGCATTGAAATGCATTGCTATAGTTCGATGCAACCGCCAACACTGCTTGACAAGGCGTCTTTGTTTATTAGACTCTACATTTGTCTAACTATTTGCTTAAGATTTCCAGGGCTACAAAGGCTGATTTTTTATTATATAGTAAAACCCATTTCCGCTAGCATCTTTTTTAATTAAAATGTATTAGTGTGCTTTGATTGCAGAGCTTTCTATAGTTTCAAAGTCCCCGAGAGTTTGATAGCTATGTCATCCGCAATCCAGCTTTTGAATTGTTACATTAAATTGTTCTTCACAAGGTTGGGCCTTATTTGTTTGTCCATCTATAATAGTAGATAGTACACATGTCCTAGTGCTCTGGATATACTCGTTAAGTTTGTTTGGCAAAAGCCCTTCAATGTCAATGCATCCATTTACAGGTTACAAACTAACAAATTTTGTCTTGAATGAGGCAGAGAATTAGCTTTAGGGTTTTAATTAATGGCAATCGAAATTTAATTAAAGATCAATTTTGCTTTTCAAGTTTAACCATCCTGTTATATTTTTAGAAATCAAATTATAATAATATGTTTAAAATGCAAAGTCTACTTAGCCAACTCTGTTACATCTATTTTTTATTTGACTCTGCACTTAGTCTAATTATTTACTTAAAGTTTTACAGTTTTTTGAATGTAAAACTTTTTTTATTTTAGACGTAACAAAGTCTTTAGCTTAGTTTCTAAAATAAAAAAATTTTGATGTTACTTTAAATTGTTTTTCACATTGGGCCTTTCTTCTTCAATGTTTACATAATTTATTTCAGAATGTAAGCTATAAAACCTTAACATATATTTTAGAGTACATATATGCAGGAAAAGTAGACATACCATCAGAATTTATGGATGAATTTTTGATTGCTGCTAAGTCTCTTCATATAAAAGGATTGAAGGATGTTGTAAGTATTCTAACATATAAAACTATTTCTTGCCACTGATTTTTCAAGTGAAAAGCAACAACATTGCATTATATTTTAATCTTCTAAGAGAATTAATTGCAAGCAAAGGGGTGGTCAACTGCTACTATATACCAGGATAGATAGATAGCTAATAATTTATGCTAAACAGTATAAACTTATATTGATAGCTGTTGAATTCTTGACTTTTATAATTGAGTAATGGTTTGCTAATATTACCTTTGATTAATGTGATTACCCATTTCTTCCACAAAATTAAATACAAGTATTTGATGTAACACTTCAAATGTGTTACAGTAGTTGTGGTCCCCTAAATTCTTCAAGTTTTATTTAATGGATATATATATTTTTTTTTTTGCACACAATTGCAGAATATGAAAGATGAAAACATTATTATTATTCCCAACAAAGATACAGATGAGGACCAAGAAAGAAAGAGTAAGTGTTACACAGAAGCTGCAACAGAAAAAGAAAGAGCATTATTGGATCTGGAACTGTGAGTTGAAAGACTGACTTTTGAATACTTTTAAACAATAAGAGAATTACTGATTTATTGCTAACTTTCTATCTTTTACATGTTTATGATCATCATCATCATTGTAGAACTCATTTATATACTGCAATAAAAATAAATAAACTTATGCAGCCATCTGAATGTGCAACTATTTTAGACCGGCACAGATACCAACCAATTTCCCACAGAAGGACCCCTATGAATCTATGAGTAACTTGTTTCATCTAAAAATCTGTAAGAAGTTTTCATGTGAAGTTACACAATTAATCTTGAACTTTATTATTAACAATTTTCTTAAATGCAAACAATAACTAACTTTAAAATATAATAACTAAAATATATTGAGAGACCTTGGTTTGATTACCAGCAAAACAAGAATTGGTTTGGTAAGCCGAACAAAATGAAATTATATTATTCTATTAATATACTAATGAAAACCATTACTTATTAGCTGCAGTTGATTTGTTGCGTTCTTCGTTCAAAGATTAACAAGTAAAAGTATCAGACTTATATTTGAAGTGGAATTAAACAATTTTAATAAAATTTATATTTCTGTTGTAGTATAAAAGAAAATATGAAAGAATCTAAGGAAAGTTTACAAGTTGAGACCATTGAGGAAGATGGACAAAATAATTTTGATAATGGAGATCCTGATTTTGGTATGACATCTTGTATTCTCAAATCAAAATATATTTATTCATATAACTAATTGTCCACTTATGAACGTCAAATTACTAAGTACTCAAATCACGAGTCTAGAATGGACGAAGAATTCGTAATAAACTTTCTGCCGCTCTTTTTATTCCCCCAACCATTTATTATACAAGATGGTCATAGATAGTAACACTTTGCGTCACATGCCATGAAAGTAATATATAATAGATATAAATATAATATCATGGTCCCAATAACGATAAAAGGTAAGAAAAAAAAAATTGTTGGCTGCCCTGTAGTAGTAAATGTTTTAGTCGAAATTTATTGATTTACAACTCGAAGTTGTCAGAAATACCGGGGGTGAACACATTAAACAAAACACGGCAGATTTTCTTTTAAAGTCAAACTTTTATTACATCGTCTCAAACTTTTTCGTCTGTGTGTTGCATGTCGCGTGACGGTCGGCCGCGGAGTAGGGATAAAGTGAAAGGCGCTCGTCATAGTAGCCAAGGCCAACATGGCGTCGCCTATAGTTCGCAGCAGCCGACCGTGTAGTGTATAGACTATTATTTAATATGTGTATATAATCTTAATAATTGTTAAGTATTATGTATGTCGTACTGTACTCTAAGACACAGAGTTCAATAAAATTATTAGTTGGAGACTTAGTCTACTTTTATTATTTCCCATTCTAATTTTCCAACTATAAAATTAAGATTGATAAAGCGATTTTTATACCCTTATGGTTATGCCAATTTTTTTAAAGTTAATTATTAAAATTAATCAAACTGATCGTGTGCCGCATGTCTGTGGCTGGACTAGAGATGCTGTATACCAAACACAACCGAAACATTTACATTCTCAACAATATATACAACATATCTCTAAAAAACCTACAGATTTTATCGAAACCTTTTAAACCTACAGAGGCATCACTGTAATTTAATATGAAATGTTCGTAATGTCAAATGTTATTGTCAGCAAAAACTTCCATAAAATTAGTTCGCTATTTGCATTTGTTGGTCGTTGCAAAATTTCCATACTTTATTTAACCTACTTATATTAATATATGTATATAAAAATTATAAACTATTTGTATACTATCGATAAATATGGCTTCGAATTATTCTCATAGAAGCGTTGTCTTTGTTATCACAAAAACATAAAAAGTTATTGTATCCGTTTTTAAATAAATTACTGCACGTTACTTTGTAAATCCCCATTGCTAATGGAATCCTGACTTATATGATATTGAGTTTTCGTAATGTGACATGCGAACGTTGAACATTGCATCTAAATTGCATATAAAAACGTCGCTATCTCAAATGAAAGTCACTGGTCAGCTTTTTATTATATATAATACTTCAAAATTGTACGATGCAACAAAACTTCTAATGGTCAAACAAGTCTACATAACTAACTTACTTGCCCATGTGCCAACTTTTTTGGAAATAAACACCGACCACACCACATCATACAAAATGCAAATCTTCATATAAGCTACCAAAAATTTTCGGGGGGGACCTTTCAGAGGTCAGGAACTATTGATTTAAAACTTTATACAATCACTAACAATCTTCTAAATCTGTCTTATGCTTAAAACAAAAAGTATTCCTCTTGTGCAATAGTAGTTAAATTAGTTATATTGAGTGTTATATAGAATTTACTACGTCTAGTACATATAAATCATTGATATGTCGAAAGGAAGAGACAATGTTTTTCTTTCTTTCATTTTTATAACAGCAACACAATAGTCTGATATACTTTTCAAGATTTCAATAGTAGATTCACTTGGTCCCGTAGAATGCGAAAGCGACCCCGAGGGCCTCTTTGATGGTCGTGCTTGTTGCTTTTAGTGCGGGGATGCGTAAACGCATTCTCACCTTGGTTAAAAAAAATAGTAGAGTCACTAATCTGTATTATTTTATTTTCCAATTATATTCAGATTAAGAAGCTTTTTTTGTTTATTTCCGATTCTGTACAGATGCTAGTCTTATACATGTACGTCTATATTGTTTTTTGTGTCTTAGCAATATCAACATTACATATAATAAATTCGCGTATTCGTTACAGAAATTTAAATATTTCAGATATCTCTACGCACTATACGTTGTCTAACCGCGGATCCCTTCAGATGATGTTGAACAAATTTATGTATTATCTAAAACACACGAACAAGGATAATTCTCGACAGTGGCGTTGTGTTGATTATTTAAAGAAAAGTAAATGTCCGGCACATATCTTTACTGAAGGGGACCTGGTTATTCAGAGGTAAATATATTATATAATGTATTTTTTACATTTATTAATCTACCATTATACGTCTATTAACGATTAGTGTTTGCAATTAAACGATTTATTAATGTTAACGATGCATTAAGGCTCAACTCATATTGGCGCAGTCGAAGCGACGTGACGCGTTCATGTTTTTCAATTTTAACGCGTTTACGCGCTGTGTTCAAAATACTGGATCCAGTTCTGAGACTTTTGTTCATTCGTGAATAGTACTCGCTCGGTAATATACAATTATACGATATAATAAATTAGACGCCTAAAGATAAATAAACCTAGTGTAGTGAATATAAGTGCAAGTGCAGTATCTCGGACGGATTGAACATAGTGTCAAAATATTATAGAACACTAACAACCCGTTCCCACTAGTCGTAAGTCGCATAAGACTAAAAGTCGAAAGTCTGATGTCCCTGTTCACACTGCGTCGCGAGTCGTATAGGTCGTAGTTTCGTGCCATTCGGAATAAAACACGAAAGGAGTGAGCAAGCATTGTGTAGCGATCTAGGAAGCGGGGCGGGGAGAGAGGTAACAACGCGCTCGAGTCGATTAGACGCACGACTAGTGTGAACAGCAACAAGCAGGCACCTATGCGAGCACGATTCGACGCGACTTTTAGTCTTAAAACGGGCGCTGGCCCGTCGGATGGTTTTTTGAGTCGTATTAGACTAAAAGTCGCGTCTCATCTAATGTGAACAGCTCCATATAAAGTGTATGGTGACCAGAGCATTCGACTTTTAGTCTTATGCGACTTACGACTAGTGGGAACGGGCTGTAAGACTGTTAATGAACATTACCTTAGTTTAAGCTATTCATTAGTATTGTAGAAAATTAGGTCAAAATAATATTACTTATTGGCCACAATTATTGTATAGGCTAGATTGTAATTTATGTAAAGTCGCACTCTTTTTTGTGAAATTTACTGTAAGAAAAAAAAGTAATAAAAATATATATTTTTCATGACTTTTACACGTGTAATCCCTTGTGGCCGTTTGACGTTGCTACGCCTGCGCCTGAAATATATATTTCCATAATACAAATTTGTACCTTAAAATGAAAAAATAGAGATGAATATGCATAGATGAACTGATAGTGATAGTGAAAGTGATGACTCGTCGCCTCAACTCTGCGCCAGAGTTGAGCCTAAGACTGTTTCTACCGATGTTTTAGTGTCACAAGTCACAAAATGCATAGTTATCCCTGTCATTTAGAATTTAATCACGTTTTTAATGACTTAATAAACGCTATTTTTGAAGTTGCCAGCAATTAACTTTGTATAAAAACTATTTGTTAAATATTTTCCTGGGGGCCTCATAGCCTAGCGGTCTTATTAAGTGGCAGCTAGGTGAGGTGTACCGAGTTCGATTCCCGGTTCGAGGGCAAGTTTTAATTTAATTTAAATTTGTTCTCGGCCTGTGGGAGGATTGTGCGGTACCGGGCGAGTGCCTAAACCGTACATGGAGGACACGGTCGAATTTCTAAAGACAAGCACGAATTATAAAAAATCCTATACTTGACGCTGGCTAAATGCACAAATCGTGCCAGAGCCATTAAAAAAAAAATTCCTCAAAGTTCGCATGTGATTTCAGAATATCGGCCCATAACCACAAAACACATGAAAATAAAATTAAAAAAAGGTTTTGCAGTGGAAAAGTTTTTACGACTATTCGTGATGCAGAAGAAAATACATCAAATAAAAGTACCAAAGATTGTAGTAAAAATTATATGGATCATGAATAAAATATATTTAAAGACGCTTTTATTTATATACACTTGAACAGGATTCGCCAAATCGCAGTATATTTCTAATATTTAAAACATGAATAAAAATACATCTGTTAAAAAAAATAAAATTTTTAATATAATTCATACAACAATCAATATACGTAACAACATATTTTAAATTAGCAATCATTTATCAAAATACGTATATCTAAAAATAGTAGGAATGCATCGGAATTTCATAAAATGGAAGTAAAACTCAACAGCAAGCTTACATTTTTTAACGTAATTATTCTCAGTTTTAAATAAAATAAATGCACAACTAAGTACAATATTTTTGAATCAAACTACTTTTCTAATTCATTTTTGACGAAAGTTGGAAGCGCAAACGCTGCTTTGTGAACGTCAGTGCTATAGTACCTCAAATTCATGGAAAGCTCATCTTGGCGGGAAAACGTCAAAGTCGGCTTGTCAAACTGAACATCATTATCAAGAGACCCAATGACAAAACCAATTTGCCCGGAGGGATAAGTCGGTACAGACGTTGTAGCGTACGCGGCTTTCGGAAATTGATTTTTGCAGATCTTTAGTGTACTCGATACTAAATCCATGCTGTACCAAAATGTACCAGCTTGCGAACAAACGATCCCATTAGGTTTTAATGCGCTCTTCATGAGTGCAAAATAATTTTCTTGAAACAAACTAACAGCTGGACCGACGGGATCGCTGCTATCTGTTATGATGACGTCAAATTCCTGACTATGGTTCTTCATGAACTCGAACCCATCTCCTACGTGTAGTTTGAGTTTTTTGCTTTCAAAACCGACTGCCATAAAGGGAAGATACTTTTTAGATACCTCGATAACTTTATCGTCAATTTCCACCTGCAACAATATTTCTTTACACTTTCCCGTAAGTTATTTAGGAATAATTTATACATTTATCTTCTTTTTTATATTAAGTAATGGGCATGGACATACGAGTAAGTCCATGTTTAACCCCGACCTTTGATAAGATAAGTCTTTGTAAAACTAACATCCGTAAACTGTCAATGGCGTTTATAACCCAAATTTTTCTTATCTATATTTTTTTCTATTTGTCTATGCGGAGTTCCAATTACATGTAGGCTATGTTCTTTTTCTACCAATCAATATTTATTAAATTAAGATCAACATTGTACAAGCATTTCTGCCGTTTTCCCCAATATAACCAATACGACTAAATGTCTATAGGCGGCGATTTTACTTTCGTTGAGCTGTATAAACACTTGCTAATATATTACTGAAATGAATAACCTTGACTTCTGATATTAATATCTGCGGTAAAACTACGATAAGAATGTCGCTTGATATATTTTAATTGTAATGCTTACATATTTACATTTATTTTATCTGTGGTTTCACTTGCGTCTAGAATTAAATTTTAATGTATTTAGCTAAACTATTTTATGTTAGATCTCTAAACTAGCTTTAAATCTATTTTATTGTATTATTGCTAAAATATAAATGTACCTGAACGATTTCCTTTACTAATGGGTGTTTTGCAACTTCTCTGGCAACTCCCCCATCTCCACCTCCTACAATTAGCACTTTTTCGGGATTTTTATGGCAGCACAAGGGCAGGAAAGAAATCATTTCCTGAAAAACATGTATGTTATTAAGTAAATAACACCTTTAACATCATTTGTGATACATATGTATACATACATACAATGCATTTCATATCTTTATTTATTTTAACATATCGTTTTATAGCCAAGAGACATTTTTTTATCATAATTTATTTTATTTGCTGGTAATAAATATAAAAAAAAAAATCTTGAACATGACTACATACCTGATATGAAAACTCATCTTTCTGGGTGCACTGTATAATACCATCAAGAACAAGGACCCTTCCAAAGCTGGTGGTGTCTAGGACTAAGATGTCTTGATACTTTGACTTCTCTTTATGCAATACTTCCTTAACTTCAAATGAAAATGACCCACCAGGCCACATCTCACATACTTCAGTAAACCAATTCTTCTTAAATGAATCCATTTTTGTCTCTTAAAAGGCAAAATAAATTTGTTCACAGATCAAAAAAGACCTTCCGATTACGTTCACAATATTTATAATAACTATTTGATTTTTGTTGACTTCATTTATAACTGAATATTTAAGTTAATGTCAAAAATTTGATGCTTTATGTAAATAGCATTAGTAAATCATTGTGATTAATAAAAAATAAACAAACTGATAAACTTGTTTAAATAATAATTACCATACCTGTTTACTGCTTCTACTACTATTAATTAAGAGTGATTTCGGTATTTCTCTTAATTTATTATAGTATTAATATCACTTGACTCGGCGTACACGAGATTTAGTTTTCTCTACTGATCAGTTTTGAATTAAAAACAAGATTTACCGGAATATGTTACGGAATGTAACAAACGATTTATATGCGCAAGCGCAGGTTGACAACTGAAGTCTGAACTGCTCCTCTCTGCTATTGTGCCTGTCATGTGTTGATTGACATACGTCGATGTCACGTCTTAAATATTGATAAGAGTAAGGCAGAAATTATGAATATACATATATTTTCATGTACCTAATTAAATTTCAACAGTATATGTCTTTATTATATACAGTATATTTTATGTAAGGGACTGTAAAAATTAAATACTATCTATATTCTTGTGTTAATTATTTATTTAAATTGTAAATGAAAATCAAGGTTTTGAAAAATAACTTTATTATATCTTAAATTAAGCACAACAATAATACCTGTATTGTCAAAATGCAATCTTATTAATATTCTAATATTACTTAATTATTATTACATAATTAATAATATTCTAATAAATTTTAACAATGATACACTGTACCAAAGACTTTTAATATATTGTTTTGGGTAATACTTTGAATTATTAATAAAATAGAGAGGTTAAAATCATATTACTAGTATAAAACTAGAACAATTTATAATGCTCTTATGATTGTATTTTAATATTGTTTTTTTTCACTACAAATAATATAAGAATTGACTTTAATGATATGACTCATGATGTATATATGTAAAATTCCTTTAAAGCCTAATTTGCACGCCATTATGTGTGGCAGAATAAGCAAACTTTAGAAAACATTTTTGTACTATATTCTTGCAAATAAATTATTATTATTAATAATATTTTTTGCTTAGTCACTACAGTCCTTTTGAGTTCATATGGATACATTGATTTTTCAATAATTTAACTCTAAAATCTGTTAAAGATTGTCTTTAGGACTCCTAACAAATTCCCTTTTTATATGATGCCACTTTGAGTCATGGATTTATATCTCCGTATTCTTTATATATTGTGAAATATATACAATTAACTATATTATGACTAGAATGTTATTAAATAATATCTATGTTAATTGGTTCATTGTTGCTTATAAGCTCTTATTATCACATTTTGCTAGTTTACCAATATTTAAATGACCCCGTAATTAAACAATTATTTGTCATTATTATTCATAATGATAAGTAGCTCATATGTGCTCCTTTGGTATATGAGTTAACAATCTTGTATAGGAAATCATTTTTATAATTATTTCATGCTGTGAGCAGATATTATATTTTCTAGTTATTTATCAATTTTTACTGCTGAATTTGTTAATGCATTTTGTAATTTCTCTGACCAATACATTATGCAACTGCTGCATTAAATTGATGTCGTTTCTATTTTACTTTTCATACATGTGACTTCACAGGACAACACCGATACTCTGTAAATTCCAAAAGTGATTGGAATACAATATTGAGATTTTCTACCGCGCAATTCCAATATTGTGTTTATATGTATGTGCGCATCTATCCATCAACTCTATAGGGGCTCTAGACAAAATCACTTTAGGATATGCGAGACCCACTACCTCCAAAATAATTCGTATGAGAATGACATTAGGTGACGCTTCGTCACGAGACCAATACAAATGCGTTAGTCGGTCACGCCAGTCGTAAAGGGATTTTGTCTCAAGACCCTGTAGGAAACCGGTCTGTCTAAATCCAAAAATCGACGACACGTGATAGAATGCTGATCACATTGTCTATGAAATATAAATTATCAAAGAAACGGATACCAAAACTAAAGAATATTGAACTACATCAAAATTTCATACAATGTCTAGACTAGGGATGCATCCGATACCGATGCCGATACCGATATATCGGCGATACTCTTTGGGTTTGCCGATATATCGGCATCGGCGATATTCTCATTGCCGATTCACCGATACTTTTCAAATTACACGCTTTAAAAAAATAATGTAAACGCGCATATTGTATGATCTAGTTTTTTGCAAATGAGCCACGGACTATTGTTGCCCGAGATATACCCGCGTTTTATTCAGTTTGTTGTCTCTATCATTCGCTTGGGGACAAAGCATTATTATTTATGTATATATGTATTTCATTTCGCTAAACACTATTTATTTATTAACACTTTGTTGCATTACAATATAAAAATTGAACATAATTAAATCAAAAGGAGGGCAAAAATACAAATTACATAATATAAACAAAAAAAGTCTACATAAAAAATAAAAAGTGCACATGAATCACGATAATTTACGATCAGTCTCACGTCAGTCAGTAGTTAGTACGAAAAACTTGTTGGATTGATTAGTAGACCAAAATTTTTACTCGAGTCAACTATCTTTGCCAGCGCATAGTTATTAGATATTATGGCTTGCAGGAGATCATTTAGTTGGCTTTTAACTGCTATCGCGAGTAGTATTTTTTTGATACCAAATTAATAAAATACAGAATTACAACAATGTTATCATTGTTAATTTTAATTATTAACAGTTATTTATTTTATTTAAATTTAATTATTACTCTTAATTCCTAATTTTAGTAACAAAACTTTTAAAATTATTCAAAGTTTGTGACTATTTTTTGTAAGTATATATATATATTTTTTATAAAAATTATAAACTTTTACTAAACTTGATATATTTTACCTTAATTTAATTTTAATTCAATAAGGCGTTGGTAGGATCGGTATCGACGATATTCCTATAAGGTATCGGCATCGTATCTATCGGCAATAAAGCGTATCGATGCATCCCTAGTCTGGACTATCCATACCCTATTAAGTTACACTCACGACTTGGACATAAAGTCCACGAGAATTACGACTGTTATGACTTTATTTGCAATAAGCGGTCACGTGATCATTTCCAAACAAATTTAGGTAGTCTCGTCTAGATATAACTATTCTAATCAAATTATTTGACATAACACAATCAAACTGATCTTATTTTGTAATAGTCGTTTTACACTTTGGTGACTGTCACAAAACGCTTGGCTCGCTCCTTCTAAATCATTAACGAATGAAGCGTATGGGCTTAAGATCCGTCTTGGAACACGGGACCTTTCAAAGTTGGGTGGAATAAACCTGCTGTGTTTCCGTGTTCGTTCGTATATTTCTTCGCGCTCTAATTTCTACCAGAATCCGTAGACAGAAGTCCGGCGCAAGAGCAGCAGCAACTGTGACCAGGTTGAGAAGCCAAAAGGGCAGGGAGGTGAGCAGACGGGTGTACGTTCCTAGGATGTCGCCGTCCACTTGGCTAAAGATAAAGATATTTGTAAAAAAAGGGAAAGTAGAAATGTAAGTGAATGACGTCACATGTGGGAGTATTTGTGTTTAAATCTGCGTTAGAGTTCTGAAACTATAAAAACAATACCTGAAAAAGAACTTGATACACAAGGTTGATGCCTCTTCAACATTCAATCAAGCTACAATATATAAAAAGTAGTGAACTGCCTTTTTTTAAATTAATTTATGTTAAAGAATATTTACATAATACATAAAAAAATAACGATTTATTATGGACTAACAAATAGTAGAACTTTTGTTAATTTACTCAGCGTCAATAAAAAACGTCCGTTAACCTATGTAATTCGTTGTATTACAGCGGTAGTCCTGTGGCCAACAAAGAATTGCAACCCAAATGCATTTAAACCTTGTAATAGAAACTGGCAAAATTATTAACTAAACTATATTTATCATAATAGAATAATTAATACAAAAAGTTTATAAATTTTGTTGTTCTTCAGATTAATTCCTGCAGCTGAGTATCATCGTCGGACGTCGAGGCAGAATACGAAAAACCATCCGTATCACCTTGACGTCCGTCGGTCCACAACTAAGCGTTTTTAAGGCAGGTTTTTGCCGCGCACCACCACTATGTGGAACCAGCTGTCTACTGAAGTGTTTGACATAGGGCTCTTCAATAAAAGAACCTACCCATTCTTAAAAGGCCGGCGACGCGCTTGCCACCTTTCTGGCAATGTGAGGGCAGCCGTATCACTTAACATCAGTTGAGCCTCATTCCCATTTGCCAATTGTTATTTAAAAATATACAGAAAAATGATTTAGATAAATAATGATACTTACAAATAAAACAATGAATATACAGTATTAAACGCTATATAAGTCAATACTGATAGTAGAGCGGTAAGTGCGAAGGCCAGGGTGTGGTATCGCGCGTGAAGGCACAGCTTCAATGTCACTATTACCAGCATTTGGTGAAATAGTATCGCGCCGAATGACCTGGAAACATGATTAATTAATTGGACGTCGTAATTAACACTTGCTAATAGTGGAAAGAGTTGGCCTAGTTTTAGCTGGCGACCCTAATCCCTGTGGTAGTTCGAATCTATCTGCACCAATAATAATAATAATCTTTATTATTTAATAATAATAATCTTTATCTCTTAATAATAATAATCTTTATTTCTTAATAATAATAATCTTTATTTCTTATTTATTTATTTTTATTTCCAATGGAATTTTCTGCCTATGTGCAACTCTCGCTCGTAAAGTGTAGGCAAACATCGTGAGAAAAACGAAACAGAAAGCTACATACTCGTCTATAAAGTAATTTAAAATGCGTTCTGAGGCCAATACCAAAGGTTGTAGCGCCACAGCTTATTTTTTTATAGACAGGTCGAGCGCGTCCGTGCCCCCTACGCCCGTACCCGGACTTTTAAGTTTACGCTGCGCGGACGTGTAAGCGTACTGCCGCAAACAAACAAAGGTACGTGATATTGTACGAGCCAAGGCTGTACATTTTGCTTACTCAGGCTTTCTTAGTTTTGTAAGCGTGGCGATTTCTTAAATCGTCGGAGTTACGCCCCGAGACTATAGTAGACACTCTTCAACTGTTACATTGCAATTAACATTTCTTTATTTCGCTTATATTTTATTGCTGTACGCGAGTGGTTAATATAGAGTAAAACTAAAATACTCAAATATTTAAAACCTTGATGACCCAGGAACCGATATGATAGGCCGTGGAGCTCTAAATGATCGACCCTACTGATAATCCGTACTGCGGACCTTCCGTATAGCACTAAATGCAACCAATGGGGTGGTGTCTTAAAACTTAATTGAGGACGTGTGTATATAAGGCATTAAAATTTTCTAGTTTACAAACGAAACGCGTAGATACGTAAAGAAATTAATGCGTATATCTGGGACCAAGATCCGTAAAGGTATGTAAGAAGGTGAATATAACTTTGGTACAGACAGGTTGTTAATCTGTCAGCGATGAAATTATATATTTTAGTGGATTTATTAATTGCATTTCAACTTATAATTAAGAAAATATCAATATGATAACACATATAATCCGGGATCCACCGCCCATTTTTGCACTTGATTACTATCAGCTAATTTTCCGTGAGTAGGTTTATTTTGATGAGACGCCCAATAATTTCCTGTACGAAACTCTCGGTTGTGGTAGCTAACAGAAGTAGCAAGGATAAAATATGTTGATTTGATGATTCTCAAATATTTAATACTAACTGATTTTTTTTTGTTAAATCTCAAGACAATTATCTAAATTATTCGAAAAAATATTTGTCCTACAAAATCTATGGTTTGATCAAAGAGTACCCCTCTTTCCGACATGTATCGATAACGAGGTCATCATAAATGATTACTAACCAGCTGATTTATTTATTTTTACTTAGTTAATATTTATGTAATTTAACAGACATATTGTCCTACAAATTGCGCGGTACGTTATCCTGGTCCTAGCTCAGAAATTGTTAATACCACAAGACCATTTTTTCTCATTACTAACTGTAGGACAAAAATATCATATAATAGGTTAGTGTATTCTCTGCCCAAATGACACAAGTCCTACAAGAAAACAGGTATGTATCACTAGTCCGACAAGAATTGTAATTTTTTCGTTTTCCTATTAGTAAAAAAGATAAGTGAAAAAATCTTTTTAAAATTTAAATAACTTTATTTTTTAGTAATCTAGGTACAAAAATTTGTGTAAAATAAAAGAAGTTAATTCATCAGATTATCTAAAATTCGCTACTAACATCGCATCATCTTCATCTGTTTCACTTTCTTCACTCGTGATATCTGACTCTAAAATAAAATATACATTAAAAAATAATAATAATTTTATTGTAAATATAATATACTATCAAAAATTATTGTTTAAAGAATGTAACAATAATACAATGCTACAATAGAATGTTACAATGCTAATGCTCGATTTTACATAATTACGTAAAAATATGAACTTAATAAATTATGTTTCAATTATTTTAAAAATAAAGTAAGTAAATATTCGATCGACTTACCTTTCATAAGACAAATATTTAGATTTATCGAAATTCTTTGTAACAAGAGGAATATAACCTATACTTCTATCCAATTTTAGTTAATATAACATCGAATGAGTTGATGATGCTTTGAGCAGATAGAAAAGTTTGCAAGAAAGCAAAAGTCTTTATTAAATTTCTTCACTTTTTCTCTAAAAGTAGAGTTTTCACATAACGAATTACACAAAAAACACTCCATAATTATTTTGAGAAAAACATTTCTTGAAATTATTTATCAAAATAAAATAAAACACGTGGTCGACTGAGAAAATGTTTGCAGGCTTATGGTCGACACTAAGTGGGATACCTAATTCGCAGTAAGCAATCTCTGCGATGCGTACCGCCGTACCGGTGCTCAGCTGAGTAGAAAATACAGAAACCCACGACATATTTATAGGTACCTCTGTTATACCAAATTGAGAATTTTCGCAAGGAAATTGTTGGGGACTATCGAAACGAAGCTATTCACGAAGATTCAGCTTGATAGTAATTATTTTTACATCAAGGATCTGTACTACTACTTTTGAGCGTAGGACCAGGATAACGTACCGCGCAATTTGTAGGACAATATGTCTGTTAAATTACACAAATATTAACAAAAGTAAAAATAAATAAATCAGCTGGTTAGTAATCATTTATGATACCTCGTTATCGATACATGTCGGAAAGAGGGGACTCTTTGATCAAACCATAGATTTTGTAGACAAATATTTTTTCGAAAATTTAGATAATTTTGAGATTTAACAAAAAAAAATAGTTAGTAATAAATATTTGAGAATCATCAAAGCAACATATTTTATCCTTGCTACTTCTAATGTGCTACAGGACAATTGTCGTTTCATCAAAATAAAGCTACTAGGAAAATTAGCTTGATAGTAATCAATGCAAAAATGGGACTAATATAATCTTTCTGTCTATGTGCGCATTTAACACTCGCTCGAACGGTGAAGGAAAACATAGTGAGGATACCGGCTTGTCTTAGACCCAAAAAGTCAGAGTAAAACACGACATAGATAAATTTAAGGTCAAAGGACTGGGACCTTCTTTTAGATAAAATAATTTACATTACATTATTACTATTAGTTACATAATTAATTAATTAATTAATACATACCACAAATCCATAGGTTTCCCATCAGATGTAAAGACATCCGAGGTGAAGATTAAAGTACTGAAGCCATAAATGAGCACTGAATGATATAACGCTCCTGATAGCCAAAGTACGAAGTACCGCCATGATAGGAGCTTGTTTTTTCGAATATTTCGGTAAAGCATTGGGTTCCTGAAAAGTTATACAAAGATAAATAAACTAAGTTTTTTAAACTTAAGGCACTGCCTTGCGATTCTGTAAGACACTTGTCGAACTCTAACAGCGGTTTTCGTAGTGGCGGAGTAATGTATAAATCTTAAAGCCTATTTAAAAAAATCTTTACCAAACTTGACGGCTGTCAAATAAAATACAAATTGTAACTGTTTTAACGGGTTTTTTATTGCCAATGTTAATAAATATTGTGTTAGACAGGACATACAGAACTCCTAAAAATGATCAATTTTCGTAAAAATAAGTTTGGATTAATTTAAATCCGTCGGAATCGATAAAAAGAATTACTTTTCGAAACGTATGAATTGTTATTATATCAGGAATCAAATTAAGTGCCTTCTTAGCTGAGTAAGTACTAAGTAATACAAACCTGAGTAATAAATCGGCTGGCCAGCGTTGCTCAGTCACAGATAGAACAAGGCACGGTACTGACGTGAAGAACAGATTGTAGAACGTCAAATACATACTGTCATATATTGACTGTGTGGAGAACGCGCTGTTTATTTGGAAAAATAACTGCAAATAAATAAAAATTATATTCTTGTTGGTTTAATTGTTTAAACTATAATACATGATATATGGTAACAGAAACGGTATTATGTCCACGTTTATAAAGGCCTGCCCTGCGATTCTGTAACTCACTTTTCGAACTCACACAGCGGTTTTCGCATCGGCGGTCTCTCTCAAATCAGTCATGAAGCAGTCATTTTATGATTTGGCATTCTGATAAACAATAAACTACAAGCTTTCACCTTTTCAGAATGCCAAATCATAAAATGACTGCTTCATGACTGATTTGAGAGAGACCGCCGATGCGAAAACCGCTGTGTGAGTTCGAAAAGTGAGTTACAGAATCGCAGGGCTGTATTCACTTTGATTAGCACTGTGCAGGTGATTAGTTGGCTGCGTAGTAAAGTGATTAGAAGCGTGTTCAATTTTTTTGTGAGTAGTGACGTCGCGTGCGCCCTCCCTTCCCCCTCACTCGCAGCGTGCCTGCCAAAACACGTCTGGACAGGCAGCAGGAGTCTTCGGTCAACCTGAGAGCAAAGTAATATTCCGTCGTATCTTCAGCAGCCAATTCCTTATAGAGTTGGTAGCTTGCGCCATGAATGGGTCTTCATTCCATTTTCGAACCCATACTTTTCTTGGTCATGCAACCTGGTTTCAGATAGCTTTAACTTCTTTCAGTACTTTTTCAAATTGCAAGCGTGCTTCTCGATGTTTGTCGAAACTTCCTGATCGACAGCTATCGACAACTGAATTTACTTAACAGAGCCACTAATCTAGAATTGAACACTGCTTGCATAACACACCTGCACTAATCATCCTCAATTACTAATCACTTGCACTCGCACTAATCAAAGTGAATACAGGCATTTAGATGTGTTTTTGTCGTGTTCGGTTGTTATGAAGCAACAATTTCATTTTACAACAACAACGAAAAAAATCGAAATAGCTTCCATTTTCAAACAAGGAATTATTCAATAATGCCATAACCGTATTTATATTAGAGCGGTGTAAGTCCATTTACAATATATTAGAAAAACAACAAATTTATGGGGTTGCGCAAATGGCAATGACAAATAAAATAACATAATTGAGTTTGCTATATGGGGCAAAATAAAAAAACTAAGGCGAAGAAAAATTTAGTCTGAACATCGGAAGCGAACATGTTTTTTCCCTGTTATCGATCTTATAGGTACATCGATATCGCAAAGAAGTACCGCCCTTTTTTTAATTAAAAATAAATAAAAAACCAATGGATACAAGTCCTTTGGCCGAAATCGATTTCTAAACTGAGGTACGTACATGATGTAAACTTAAACAAATAATTCATATATTTAAATGCTTACCATAATATTCCCTAATACTAAGTTTTTATAGAAGAAGTATAGGACAAGTGTTGCAAGTCGTTGATAGTACCAATGTCCCAGTACCAAAAGCATTTTTTTCACCATCGAAAATTTTGTGAAGGCGAAGTCAGCCGATCTGAATATAAAAAAAATATTAGTATTGAAATATGTCTCGCTGACAATTATTGCTGTGAAGCATTCGAAAAGTCAATTTTTTTAATTTAATTTATTATTTTTTTATGATACAGCATACAAAAATACATACAACCCTTAATTTTCACCCCTCTACGATCAACCCCATTTTTTGAGGTTTATATAGAGAAAAATTCACAGAAAAACCTAAAAAGTTTTCATTACCGAACAGTCTCTGGGGTAGCATAGCAAAATGTTCCATGTTGGTAGTATTAAAAAGGTAGGCTAAGTGAAATCACATTAAGGAGAAACAAAGTTCGCGGGGGCAGCTAGTTATATGCTAGGTACCTACACAGTTACCTATTTGCGTTATTCAATGTTAATATTTTTATACAAAACTGGACAGACCGGCCACAATTCTGATAAAAATAAAATAAAAATAAAATATGTTTATTATGGAACAAAGAACATGGACAGACCGGCCATTAAATTTGAAGGCATCCCTACTCATGATGTTCAGTAAGATGCCTATCTCAGGGCACGCCTGTCCAGGAGATGCCTATTTAGCCGCCGCTTAAACGGACCTATGTTATACTCTTTAGGAAAGTAAAAATAAATATGAAAATGATGAAATTATTGATCCATCAGACGACCGAGCCATCCTTTTTCCGTTTTAAAACATGGTCGACGCCAGCTTATTTCAACTGTTTTACATTACCTGGCAGCTTGATGTCCCTCCTTCCCGAATATCCCGAAGCCCACGTGAGCCTCTTGTATCATGGAGATGTCGTTGGCGCCATCTCCTATGGCCGCTGTAATCGGGTGCTCCGAACAATTCTTTACTAACTTAACAATCTGAAATGTTTTATGGTTTCAGTATTACTCGGATTTTTTTTATAGAACAGGGGGCAAACGGGCAGAAGGCTCACCTGATGGTAAGTGATGCCAGAGGGCTCGCGAGTGCGTTACCGGCTTTTTAAGAATTGGTACGCTCTTTTCTTAAAGGACCCTAAGTCGAATTGGTTCGGAAATACTTCAGTGGGCAGCTGGTTCCACAGAGTGGTGGTGCGCGGCAAAAACTGCCTTGAAAAACGCTCAGTTGTGGAACGGCGGACGTCGAGGTGATACGCGGTGGAATTTCGTATTCTGCCTCGACGTCCGATGATGAAACTCAGCTGAATGTGTACGGAAAAAACTTTAATAGAACGAAAATTGCACTTTTAAATTCCTAACCAAAATTAATAATTAAAGTCTAGAAAGATTAATCTGCTGGTTTAACGTTGATCACTGATGTTATGATGGAGATTTGTTAGATGTCCAACAAAAATGCCTTGCTTAAAACAAAACACAATTAAAAACTTGCTTTAAGTCAATTGAACATTCTTATAAATATATTCCTTATGACCTAACAACAGCACCTCCCAAATTAAACCAAGGTAATATTTCAATTTCAATATATACATTATACATATTTGGTTATCGAGATTTATCATACTACGCTCTTATCTTAAAGCTATTTAAACAAATCTGTCTGTAAAAAAAACTAGTACTTATTTATGCAGATACAGATTTGTCACAACTAAAATATACATATAACAAGGAAACAAGTGTTTGTTGGTGCATCAGCGCAAATTTTGCTGTGATGGCGTTAATACGTAAGCTAAAAAATATGTCGGCTAACCAATAGTCCTACCTTAGCTTTCTGTATCGGCGATAGTCTACAGCACAACACTGCGCTGCACTTGAGGGAGATATCAACGAAGTCCCTCGCATACACCGTATCCAGGACATTCGCCATGCTGACTCCATCAACCACCAACGTCAAATCCTGATAGCCCGGTTCTTCTACCGTCTGCCTACAAAGCTCTAGAGTTTGCTGTAGAGCGAGCTCGTCTTCGACGCTTATAAGAAACATTCGACGATCGTTCTCGGATATATGGCCGCACGATTGGGAGACGTTAATTGCTGTTTCTACCTGTATCAGGAATACAATCATTTGATCTGGGTTGTTTGGAAGATCTTTTATATGTGATCCAAAGATGTGTTTATATAGTAGAGATATTTGTAAGAAAAATGTGTATTGTCATCGAATGAAGGAAAATCGTGAGAAAATATCCTAAAACGATAGGCAAGTGTTTCAAAAGAAGAATGACCCTCGATTGTTATTCGTATTCGGAGCAGTGTTGACCTTGTGGCTTCAGCGTGCGACTCTCATCCACGAGGTCGTAGGTTCGATCCCCGGCCGTGCACCAGTGGACTTTCTTTCTATGTGCGCATTTAACATTCGCTCGAACGGTGAAGGAAAACATCGTGCGGAAACCGACATGGCTTCGACCTAAAAAGTCGACAGCGTGTGTCAGACACGGGAGACTGGTCACCTACTTGCCTATTAGATTTAAAAACGATTATGAAACAGATTCGAAAATCTGAGGCCCAGAGCTAGAGAGTTTGTAGCGCCACTGGTGTGTTATTCGTATTAGTCCACGTGATGTTACGTAGATGCAGATTTGGATGATAAGGAAATATGATATCGACATACGAAATAAATTTGATTATTCGCACATTTTTCCTTATTGTTGTTATGATAGATTGTTAATCAGTATTATATATAATTTATATAAAATGAAATTGAAACCCTAAGGTTAATATAATGCTTTTTTTTATGTAACAGAAGGCAAACGGGCAGGAGGCTGAAACTGAGCTACAGGTATTAGTCCGAACAACTCCTCTGAACACTCTCCATGGTAAATGCGGTAGAAGATGCAGAGAGATCCCACATTTCTACGCAACGCCAAGAATCAAGCCTCTTGGAAAGTGACTGGTCGTCGACGATTCGAATCGCTCTTCGTTGAAAACGTTCAAGCGGAAGGAGCTGGAGAACAGTATTCCATGTGGGGCCGAATTTGCGCTTTATAGAGTTGCAAGCCCGGAGTGAAGTACCGTCTGGCCTTGCTGAGCACACCAAGCTCCTTAGAGGCTAACTTAGCCTTTCCTTCCAAATGACCGCGAAACTGAATGTCATTCGATATGTCAACGCCCAGTATCCCGATGCTGCCTGAGACTTTAGGAGAGTGTCTTCGAAGAGAGGAGTAGCGACAAAGAGTTATTATGATAATTCAAATATGCGATATTATTTCCTTTGTATATGATATACCTTATCTCCAGTAAGCACCCAGATTTTGATTCCGGCTCTTCGCAGAGACGCGAGAGTATCTTCAACATCATCTTGAAGACAATCTTCCACAGCTGTTGCACCAAGCAGTGTCAATTGTTGCTCCAGTACTACATACTGTTGGTTCACACGCTGTAGGGCTTCTGCGCTTGAGCCGTCAAGATGTTTTATGGCTAGAATATGCAGAAAAAAATCAGTTACAGTCAATCAATTGGAATTAAAGTACGACCGATCACCACAAGTAGCACCTGGGGCCTTAGTCAAGATGCCTTAACAGTAGTGTATGTAGAAAGTCGAAAACTAAATTTGTATGGAAATTACAACATCTTGACTGAGGCCCCTGATCACGTGATTTGATAAAAATATTTAATAATTTTACGGTATTGCAATAATGTGGTAATAGGAGAAACAGTGGTATGTTTTTTTTATAGAACAGGGGGCAAACGGGCAGGCGGATCATCTGATGTTGAGTGACACTCTCAATGCCAAAGGGTTCACAAGTGCGTTTCCCGGCCATTTAAAAATTGGTACGCTCTTTTCTTGAAAGAGCCAAAGTCAAATTGGTACGGAAATATTTTTATTCTGGTTCCACATAGTGGTGGTGCGCGGCAAAAACTGCCTTAAATAACAATTCGACAACGGAGTGAACGATGACGATGCAATTTCGTATTCTGCCTCGACGTTCGATGATAAAACTCAGCTGAATGTGGCACAATTTTTAAAATAGTTTATTAGTATAGATATAGATATATAATAATTTCTGTAAAATATAATATAATAGTTAATATGGATGAGAGCAGTGTCGGCCTAGTGGCTTCAGCGTGAGACTCTCATCGGTGAGGTCGTAGGTTCGATCCCCGGCTGTGCACCAATGGACTTTCTGTCTATGTGCGCATTTAACATTCGCTCGAACGGTGAAGGAAAACATCTTGAGGAAACCGACATGTCTAAGACCCAAAAAAAAAGTCGACGGCGTGTGTCAGGCTCTGGAGAATGATCACCTACCTGCGTATTATATTGAAAAATTATCATGAAACAGATTCAGAAATCTGAGGCCTAAAGAGACCTAAAGAGGTTGTAGCGCCACTGATTATTATTATCATTAGTTTATATGGATAATCTTAATAATAGATTATTTTAAATAAGTATTTCAAATCAGCTGTTACCAAAAACGCCCATAATTATCCCTTATCTAAAATGTATTTATCAATAGGTTTTAAAATATTATCAGTAATAATTATTTGTTTTATCATTAATTTGTTACATAGAACACTAACAAATAATCATCCTTAAGCGATTTTTTAATTAAAATGTTACATATTATAATAAAACAAAAAACTTATTTTTAATTTACATTCGTAAGTTTCAAGAATTATTATTAGTTTATAGTTGGACCTCCATGACGACTAGACATTTGAAGTGTATTCAAAATTAGATAAATTATCGTAAATAATTTATTTAGCGAAACTAATATGTGGCTTTAATGATTTGTATTGCATGTAGACGCATCTAACCAACACGAAAGAAAAAAGTGCCCACTTATCAGTATGATTATGGTTTCCTATAGCAATAACTATGATTTTCATTACTATATACTTCCCAGAAAACATTTTGGCCAATTTGTTGATTTGTCAGACGTAATTTTTTAGATCGTACCGATACCTATATATATAGTCGACTATAGGGACAGCTTTGTCACACTAATGTATGGCATATTTTTCATTATTGTAATTAAAACTTATTAAATTTAACGTCTTCTTTCTGTGAGTTATGTTAGGCGATGGCATAATAAAGCTCATCAAGCTCATGTTATTTAAATATATTATTTTCCATTTATAAACTTACATTCAGCGACTCTGTCATACTCCTCCGTGGGTATCTCCCGGTAAGCAACAGCCAGGGTCCTAAGACCTTTAGTGGCAAAGGCAGTGATATCTCTTTCCGTCTCTTCTATTTGTACCGAATCCTTGCATATAGGAAACACTGAGGATTCCGCACCTTTACAAAATAGCCATATCTGAAATATAAATATCTTTATCGTCAATTGTTTTGAACGTATGACTACTTATTTAGAACGAGGACGAAAGGGTCACCAATTACGGGTCAATTGTTTTTTTTTAGTTAAGTTAAAAATTTCGCCTGCCATGATAAAAACAACGCTAAAAGCAACGACGCGTGACTGCAAATATTATTGATTTTTTCTAAGGTTTTTGTAAATCATTGCCGCTTAAATTATCATACAACACATATGCATTAATAATATTAATGCGTCCTATACCACCAAATCAATATCATTTGCATATCAAATATGTATTTTCGTGTATATTATTATTTTTATTTTAGTTGTACATATTACTCATACTTCTATAAAACAAAAAAAATCTTATCTGTAAAAAATTCAAGGACACTTCTATATAACTTACATTATATATACATTATATATAATATTGTTTTACATATCTTGTATTTGTGAAATGTCGGTCATGTTGCATTGAAATAAATAAATAAACGTAGTTTAATGTATTAATAATTAATTACTTAGATTTTGTATTTTATTTTTATTTCTGTAAAGCAATATAGTACACCTGACGGGTTTTTTTGGAGATTATAAAATATAAAACGAATACTAGAAATTTCAAGCGCGGTAGCAAATAACGGCGGGATTAGATATGTTAATCGTGACATCCAATCTAATCTTCTTCTCAATCAATCAAATACAAGCACTTCAGACAAAATCATCGGGGTTAAAATTTACCATTTAGATAAAATTCGTTTCTTTTTTTTTGACAACGGCAAAAATTCAAAATGTTCTTACAATTTAAATATTGCAAGGACAAACGACTCAAAGTAATAATGAACTTTAACGAACTGGTAAAAAATATTAGATTCTTAATGATTAAAACATGATTTATGAATATTAAAACTTAATTGATAACAAAAACTGCTTTAACTGTAAATGAAGATAAAAACTAAAAGATAACAATTTAATATGTAAAAGAGCTACCGAAGTCACATCAAAATTGGTATTTAGATGAATCTCGGAGACATAAGTAGAGAAAAATACTAAAAACGACAATTAAATTTTCATATAAAACCTGTTCCTAACTAGAATTTCCTGAGGAAAATATATCAAATATTTCCCAGTTAGGAACAGGTGTTTTTGTCCTTATGTCTTTTTTAAAATAAACAATGGTCACTTGGTTGTCATATATTGACAGATGCCTTCAGAAATATGTGTCTTATAGCTTTAGTATGAGGTCCGATATCTTTGTTCTGTTTTAAAAAAATGTATTAAGTTTTGACACAAATATATGTAGGTGATACGAAGTTAACTGGGTTACCTAGTTTTATATAAATTATGGCATATAATTGCGTTGTGACAGAAGCTTCTATGTTCTATGCCTAATGCTAACCTCGAAAAATAGGCTTTAAAAAGGAATCCATACCTTCCCATCTTTATCCTTTACGATGACAGACATCCGCTTTCTTTCAGACGTAAATTCAATCAACTGAAGTCGTTCATACATCTCCGTAATAGTTCCGACCTTTAGTACCAGATTGTTCCCTTCATCGCCCAAAAAGGTCACTTGAAACCTGTCAGCTGCCTCTACTAAGGCTTTTTCGTCGGGGCTGCTTCCCTGGTAGTCCATTTTACTGCCGTTTTCATTCAAAATGGCGTTCCATGTAACGCTATCAATAACACTACTATTTCCATTCGCTTTGGTAATCTTTTTCCGTCGAAAGAAGTTCATTAACTGCATATTTCCAGTTCCGGAAAGACGTGCGCTTAATTTTTTCATGTCTTCGTTCGAGAGTTGAACCGAGTGACACAGCGCGAGTATTGTGAAGAAAAATTTAAGATCTGTCTGAAATAGAAGAATTACTTAAATTCAGAATAATAAGCACGCATTTGATATACAATTATCACGTATAACATTTAGTAATTCAAAGCTCCCCACTTCACAGCTTTAATGTACTGTAAAGGAAACTACATGTTTAATGGCTGCCCAAGTATAGAACTTTGCGTGCCGTTAGTAATATTATAAGATTTTAGGCCTACCAGAGATGAAAAATAACAAATACAAGTCATAAAATATAGTGACACTATCTACCCGAGCAGTGGCGTAACAATTGGGTAGCAGGGCTGGCAAAATGCCACGGGCCCCCGACCCAAGAGGGCCCATGCCCAAAAGATATTATGTTCTATGGATAAATGTGAAGTCTGCACATCTTACGATTGGGCTAGTATGGGGACTACTGACCATTCCCTCTCGCCTAAAAAAGGAGGCCGTTGGCCATTCAGTGGGACATATACAACGTGATAAATGAGTAGCGGTGAAAATCTCCAAGTTTATTAAACATTGAACTCAGTAGGACGATTTTTTGCCTGATAGGGTATAGTTACGCCAATGTATCGAGGCCAATTTTCATAGCTTGCGGTACGATAAACGCGGTCAATCGCCTAGTCATAGAACACTGACTTCACTTGTTAACGATTTTTGCCGCTGTAATTAGAATGAACGAAGTACTTTTCTATATTATACAATAGTCAATTGAAATAAGATATGGCGATGATACGGATAAAGTGCGAGCCTAAGTGCGGAAACTGAGTCCACCAACCATACCATACTTTGTTAAAACATAACAAAACAATACTGCAGACTTTTTCAACTTTGTTTATTAAAAATTAAATTATGAAATGGAGATACAAAAAAACTTTTTGGTTGATTTTTTCATAATTCATTCGGTGAATTAGGTACTCGAAACATTCATAGCCACTCCCTATTGAACAAATGTTTATAGTATTTTATTTTAAGAAATCCCTTATGTACATAACAGTGAATCAAAGACAAGCATGACTAAGTTTTCGTCAAACGATAAAATGTTATGACAAATCAATGATACTATAAAAAACTTGTTTTATGACTATATTCATGATAAAAGTTACTTACTAACTGATTATTAAAGACAAAATTACAATATGTATATTTCAATAAATTATATTCCATTCTTATATTGGTATTAATTGAATCCTCTTATTAAAAGCAACGCAGTTTGTTTAATTTTTCTAAACAAGTTACCTATTTCTCATAAACCTTTTGTGCTAACATGAAACAAATATATGGTATAAAAATATGGTATTCAACCCAGGATCTCCTAGACTTTTGTGTGTTACCTTAGTTAGCAGTAGCGGTAATGGTAGGACCTAGACCAAATGTTATTATATATGTAAGATATCATTATAATAAGTAATCATATATAAGAAGTAATCTTGGATATGGTTGCTCGGTACCTAGTTACTCAGTACTCAAAGAAAAAAAATCTCGTATAAGTTTAATACCTACAAAAACGCGGGTGAACATTTTTCAAATTGATACTTTCAAAAAAACAACAAACAATACTATATGGTAATGATACATGACATCATCTCAAATAAAATTAATTGCAGCTCACTTCTAGAAAAATTGGACTTCCATGTTCCTGCCTACCTGCCAGCCAAAAAAACTCAGTTTTGTTTCGCGTAGCCCGGACATAACACAACGTTCAAAAATACTTGTTTACCTATATGAATAAAGTTATTTTGACTTTGACCACTATTTGACTTGTTTCAGCTATCGCGTCTTATTAAGAATATCCATAGCGCAAAGTCCTGCGTCATGAGCTCACCCCACATACACACAATCACAGAGCACAGCCGAATTAGGTATTATGTATTTAATAATTTTATTTATCTTTTCCTTTCGTAAATGTATGAACCTTTTTGTATAAATGATGTATTCCATCTTTGGCTATATTTTTAGTATAATTGTTTTTTGTTGTATATAATTTATGTTAGCTATAGGATCACGAAATAAATAAATATCGTTGATGTTCTCTTGTTCTTGAGTCTACAAGTTATAATAAAAAATATTATTTATATGACTGACCTGAAGAGTATCAACGGCTTCATCAAACTTCCCAGTATCAAACAATCTTCCTTCCCTCTCTTCATAAATCTGTCCTTTTATGGAACATGCTTTGAAAGCCATAAGGTTCTTTGTAAGAGTGCCAGTTTTGTCCGAGAAGAGCACCTCTACTTGACCTAACTCTTCGTTGAGATCAGAGGTATTGGCGATTGCTGGTCTGCCAGTCTCTTCGCAGCGGAGTTCTTCATCCCAACCGATGAAGAGGGCACCTAATAAATGTCATTTAAGCGACGTGTTAGATAAACATAACAATATTTATGGAGGGTCTCGCCTTAAAGGGTTTTAATTTGTGAATTATATCATGAACGCCGTATGAGATGAATTTTGAAATTGTAATTTCTCAAATTATTTTTGGTCTCAATTTCGGCATTATAATCGACAAAGTAAGTGGATTTTGTAATAATTGTAACTAATATTTGAATCTAAGTTTTTAATTAAAGATTTAAATTGGCTCCGGTAGCTGGTGCTTTCATCGCTGAACGAATAAATATCGCAGCGAGGACATGCCTTATATAAACTACCATAGGGACCTAACTTTTTAAATTTATTTTAGTTTTCTTTTTAATTACTATTACTATGAAGGTTAAGACTATTGTATATTATAAAATACTATTATAAAAATTTCTTCACAATACTTAATGCTTAATTAACTAAAAAAATTAAGATATAGATCATCTATTACTTTGTAATTTAAAAAAACATGTAAATAAGTTACGTGAACTATGTTTATAGACAATAAAAACGGATTAATATTGTAATCTGTCTGATAGCATTTTACAATCAGTCCCATCACTTACCAATAAATTTATACAGCTCTATCGTGACGTACAAAGAGATGGGTATGATGTAGTAGTACAAGAGGAGAAAAGAGAAGAGGTCCTGTAGAACACTTGAGGCTGTTAATGGAAAGACGTCTTCAAAGCCGAAATATTCAAGTCTTTTTGGATTCCACATTTCTATGAGTATTTTGGCCACGAAAGAACCAATCACTTCGAAAAGGAGAACGTAGATGAGTAGCACAAGGAATCCGTTGACAGCAGATTCGCTTGATGAAAATTTGTTCCCTGAATATTTAGAGTTAAGAGCCAGTTTTGTTTCTTCACCTGAAAATTATTATTTACTAAATAAGGTAGTTTACGCCAAACTTGTTTAACATATTGTACAAGGACTTCCTCCATTTACACTATGGAAAAAAATCACTTTTGATTTTTGCCTAAAATGTTTCAATAGTCGTTAAACAGTTTTTTGAAGTGAAACTTCTTTATCGAGGTTGGAAAAAAATTTAGTGTAACATTTATTCGTTACGCGTCACATTTTTCGGTTACGCGCCATGTTGCTTTTTGAAGTCAAACTTCTTTATCGGCGTTGGAATGAAACTTCTTTATCGACGTATGGGAGAAATTTTGTAGGAAATCGTCACGTTTTTCAATGATAGTAATAATTCTATTACAATTAATGAAATTCTATAATAATATTCGTAGTAATAAGGTAAAATGAAATATTTGTATTCATGTCTATGATAATAAAAGCCTTTTGTTAAACTTTATCTAATTTAACGAATTTCTGTAAAGTTGCATATAGTAGATCATTTTTCGAAAAATAAGATCATAAAGAAGTTTCACTTCTTACGTGTGTACACCTAGTACACGCACAATTTATTCTTTAAGAAGTATGACATTCAATACTCAAGACGAGATTGTGATGAGATTTGGAAAACTGATCAAAGCACCTCCCGCTGATTTTACTCAAAAATAAACGTGAAACATTACTTTTCTGCAAAGATATATGATTTTAAGATTAAGATACCAAACGATAGCTGTTAATTAGTATTATCAATGAGGACTTTTAAATTAAATAATTACGTGCGTTATCACTTCATCCTTTCCCCAAAAGTCCTAACTAACGTAGACTCAGAGCATAACAACAAAACTAACTGGAATTAAAGTCACTTTATTATTATTATTATTATTATATGCAGTCGTAATTGCACGTGACGCACAAAACATATTAGCATTTTTGAAACCAATTTAGATAACACCTCAAAATCATTAGAATAAGAAATATATGTTGCGTATTGACTAAAGTCCCATTGGCTTTCGATATTTATAAGTATACCCATTGCTAACTTTTGTTTTGTTTCCGATACAGAGAAACAGGGATCTTCTAGTGGCTTTAGGGTGCGAATGACCGTTTTTCCACCCACCGCCCCGTCACGGAAGCAATAATGTATGAAAATGTATGCCTCGTTTTTTTACTTACCGGCCCAGCAAAACTACATGTGTAGTGAATACTGTATATGAATTGGTTCTTCGATTATGCGAAAATAGTTCATGTATTTTTGGGGTCTATTTTCATCTTTTCAAATAGGGTATAATATTTTCATTGGAAAAACGAATCCCCGGCATCGGAACGGCGCGGCGTCTGCTTCGGTGCCGGTGAGTGGAAAAACGGATCTCAACCCAGAGGTCTTAGGTTTAGGTGGGCTGAGGACGGATGGACTTTCTGTCTATATGCGCATTTAACACTAGCTCGTAAGGTGAAGGAAAATATCGTGAGAAAATCTTGCCTTAGACCCAAAGTTAACGGCGTGTTAGGTACAGAAGACTAATCACCTACTAGTCTATTAGAAAAAACAAATGATGACGAAACAGATGTATACAGCGTTTTCCACAGCTGAGCGTGGAACCAGCTGCCCACTAAAGTACTTCCGAACCGATTCGATATAGGGTCCTTCACGAAAAGAGTGTACCAACCAACCGGCAACTCACTTGCCAGCCTTCTGACAATATGAGTGCCTAATGGATGGCGGTATCACATAACATCAAGTTCTGCACAAAAAGCCACTGGTTTCTTTTTTATTGTTATTCAACAGTAGTTATTCTCACCAGTATAGACGGCACATCCAATAGCCCACTCAGTATTCTTCACTCGGGATCCTCTGAGCATTATATTGTCAGTATTTAATGGTAAACTGGGTTGGCCGGGTATTTCCAATCGACCGTAGAACGTGTAAAGATCTGCGACCGGATGTGGTAGTTCTATGCGGATACCGGGCGGAATTATATCTACAGAATAATTTAGGATTACCAAATATTTGAAAACATGGCATTACAGTGAGACAGAGCAGTATTGGCTTCAGCGTGCGACTCTCATACCTGAGGTCGTAGGTTCGACCCCGGCTGTGCACCAATGGACTTTCTATGTGCGCATTTAACATTTGCTGGAACGGTGAAGGAAAATATCGTGAGAAAACCGACATGTCTTAGACCCAAAAGACGACGGCGTGTGTCAAACACTGGAGGCTGATCACCTACTTGCCTATTAGACTTAAAAATGATCATGAATTTGAACAGATTCAAAAATCTGAGGCCAAGACCTAAAGACGTTGTAGCGCCACTGATTTATTAAGTAAGGAAAAGAAATGTTAAGGGTAAAATACAAAAAGTGCGTCACTAAGTAACAAAGTAGACTTTTGCAACTATAAAACTAAAGCTATTCTTAAGAATCATGAATACAGAATAACAATTAATGGTTGATTCCAAAATCCAATAAAAAAATATATATTAAGAATTACAAAAGTCACGGTGAAACTTAAAAGATATTATGTTTAAGAGGTATATTTGTAGAAGACTTTTTAAAAGAAAGAAAAGAAAGTTTTTTGGGAAAGTCTTCTAAAAAAATACCTAATTGTATCGGATCGTATTCATATAACTTTATGGCGGAGATCCTTAATGGCTAGCCTAAAACGGATGATCTGTGAGATGGAATTTCTAAAATGCATCATCATCATGCATCTAAAGAGAGTAATCTTAATATATATATTTCTTCTGTGCGTGTGTATGTGACTGAACTCCTCTCAAACGACTGGACCGATTTTGATGAAATTTTTTGTGTGTGTTCAAGGGGATCTGGGAATGGTTTAGATTCACAAATGAGCCCGGCAGATGGCACTGCAGTCGGTACTTTCATACTTTGCTTAATATCCTAATCGCTTTAAATATCATGCAGGACAACGTCTGTGGGGTCCACTAGTATATTCTAAATACAAACAGATTTCTTTAATTAAATGTTAACAGGAAATGTTATACTGGCTATTAATATTATAGTTCGATTATACTATATTAATATAACGTACCTGGGGTGTATCCAACCAAAGGTGGTGGAACCCTGAGGGTCTTCAAATTGGTCTCTCCATCTAAATTTGCGGTGGTGATGAAACATTTTCCTCTTTCACCAGCAGAACATAAGAGAACCAGATCGGCTGGTACCTCCCATCCCCTTTTGACTCTCACAAGGGCACCGGGGGCAATAGTAGAGTTCCGAACTTCCTTTATAACTCCTTTGTGAACTATTTCCACTGAGAAAAAATAATGATGCCTTATTGTACTACTACAAAAAATAAGGATTCAACAAGGCTATGTACTAGGTACTAAGTATTTATCATTTATCGTATTTTCTTTGGTTCAAGTTGGTGTTTAATCTCGTAACCGCTTACTGGTTAAAGGTTTAGTATAACATCTAAGTTCAGTGAGACAATGTACCATTTTGTTTAGATTATGAATTTAAAAAATATGAATAACCAAACACAGCGAGAGACACCAATGCCTAGTCCTAATTTTCTAGGGAACATAATTTCGCTAAAAATATTTGTCTGTCTTTATAATGATACAGTAACAAACAAGTAAATACTTTTAATTATGTACAATTTTTTTTTAACACTTTAATAGAAATAACTAGCTGACGCGACAAATGTTGTTTTGCCATGTTTATTATTTCTAGGAAAAAAATTTTTAGTTCAATAAAAACAACTCTTATGTATCAACTTTAATAAAAAATAGGAGTTGAAAGTAGAGGGGTGAAAATTAAGGGTTGTATGTATTTTTGTATGCTGTATCATAAAAAATAAGAACAAAAAAAAAAAATCTAAAAGATCAAAATAAAAATTTTGGGGTGGATAGTGGACACACCTTATCACTTAGGGGTTTAAAAGATAGATAGTAGCCGATTCTCAGACTTACTGAATATGCAAAAAAAAATCATAAGAATCGGTCGAGCCGTTTCGATGTGTCCACAGCTATACTCTATTGAAGATATACAAAATATTAAAATACACAAGGGTGTGCGCAGACACTAGTGCATTTTCTATTCCGATGGGAAATCTCAGATGGTTCTATACGGCTGGAGTGTCATGAAATAAGCCACTGTAGGTTGTCTTATACTCGACGGTTCAAAACATTGTGAACTTCATATCTTAGAATTGAATTTTCTTATTTAAAACTTACTACGGAGTCAATGAGGTTTTTCTTTTCTACTTTGGTGTATAAGTTACCCAAGCTGCAGCAGTAACACGCCTTAATTATTGCCTTGTAGTTTATATATATGGCGATATCTATATAAAGATGTTCCAACCAGGTTCAATTAACGATATATTCGAGTGGTGTTCAAATGATCATGTAACTAGTTACATATAATAATAGTTATCAGTTATATCTTCCGTGTTGATAATAGTTCGAGAAATAGACATGTATAGAGCTAGTTTATTATGATTATAATATGTTTAGAACGATAACTACTTGGGAATACAACTGCTTCGGATTTAGAAACAAAAGAAGGCTGGCTTAGTTGTTTAAAAAAATGGCGGCTTCACTATGGCATAGGAGCTGTCGGCGACACAAAAATAGACTATTTTTATCTTATTTTTGTCAAACTAAAATTAAAGTAAAAATTATGAAATCCATCAATTTTGTTTAATGTAATATAGATTGGTTAAATTAGTTTCCATTTTTATTCCAGTACTGTATTGTAATCATAAATATTATAATCTTATCAATATGAAAAACAAAACATCTAAAAAATTGCGATAATAACACGTATGTCTAAATTTATCACCAATACCTTTGTAATTTTATCTATAATACTGTCTCTTTAATCATTGGTTACTTGTAAGGTTTAGGATGCGGATGATTGAAGTAATAGTTCCCCACATCAAAACCTACATTTTATCACTCACGGATTATTCTAAATGAATAATAGTAAACCACTTCTGTAGTCATTAGCATAATCCAGCTTTTGTTACTTTATTGTTATAACATTTTAAATCAATATTATCTTGCGACTTGGCTTGGCGATTGAAAAGAGTGACGGTGACGTTCTTGCCAGTTCTTCTCGCCAGCTCTTATATCTATCTATCTATAATTTAGATCTTAATTTTCTTATATTGACGTTCAGAGGAGTACATAGTTACCAATAGGATTATATAAATTTTGATGTTATTTGTTACAACTGAATACAGCATCTTAATGATGAAACTATTATTGAAATTGGTCCAAATCGCTAATTTTTACCTACTGGAATAACTTTAAGCGTATCATATATATTAGTACCAGCCCTGCCTTCTTTCATAATGACTATGGATATTCCTAACAGCGTAGGGTTATTGAATATTACGTTATTTGAATTTGTTTTAGTGTTTTTAACGCATCTTAAAATAGGCGCATGATGCAAAACTTTATCTGCATGAATCATCTAAAAAAGTGTACGATCGGTTTTTCCAGTTGATTGACATTATTATCATTTTAAAACGGGTCTTTTATCAATCTATACTTTGATTATCATAAATATAAAGGATTTTGTTTCGTACAAAGTGTAGCCGCATACCTAAAGCATCAAATGTAAGTTTAGACGGTCATTATAACAATAAGGAAATAAAAGTGTACTCTTACCTATTTGGTTGTTGACTTTATCATCTGCTTTATGTCGAAGCCAGTCTTCATAACCTTGTTTGACAGCTGTCACGAGCACCATAAAACTCAATGGCGCTATGCTAGTATACGGTGATACGGGACTATCTACAACAATTAAATACAGTTTTGGCCGCTAACGCAGGAGGCTCTTTATGTTAATTGATACTGGCACCCGACATTGCCAGAATCGTCACATTTGCCGACTTTACAGAAATACGCTCTTTTCCTAAAGGACTCTCGCTGGCCATAGACGGATCGCATGTTGCCGAGGCCGACTGCTGTAGAGCGGTCGCGTTGAAGTCGAACACGACTGCGACACGACCGCATAATGCAGTCGACTACGACTGTTTGGAGCAGTTGTGTTCGACCGCAAAATAGTACTGATGCGAGTTCATTTACAAGATGGATTTCGATGAATAAACACTGCTAACTGTACTACTATTACGATAGCGTAAGCGTAGAAGAGACCGTAGTATGTGGGTGCGTCCAATACTACAATCAAGAGAGGAAGGGATCGGTACTCAGCGGGAGCGGGGAGGGATTGGTGCGCGATCGACATTAACCGCTTGTAGCGGTCCGTGTATGGTGGATCCTTGCTTGGGAAATGCTTCAATACTAGCTGGTAGTGCGCGGTAAAAAGTTCTTTAAGGAACTCTCAGTTGTGAAACGACGGACGGCGTGGAATTATGAGATTGGATATCGTATCTCAACTAACTTTTAATGGCTTAATAATGTCTTTACTTTGTTCAAAACACGGTACAATATTTTAAAACACAGAATCATAATAATCATCTTACCAATAACAATAGCGATAACGGTGACAAACAAGAAGTAAAAGTTGACAACTCTACGGAACTGCTCCGCTAAGTTCTTGGGCAGAAACATAAGAAAGGTGTATTTGGATGTTTTAATCTTGTTGTGTTTTTTCTTTCCCTGATCCACTACACCTACTTCGATAAGTCGCGTCTCCGAGATGTCGGACACCTTTTTCGGCTGAAATAAAAAACAGTAAATTATAGTAAGATCTGAAGCAATTTTTTAAATGGAATCGTTCTCATAATTATTTAAGTTATACTTCTTTGGGCGCGTTAGGGGAAAATGATGAGAGTAAATTCTTACGATGCGCGCACACCGTCACAAAAAACCGACACCCTGAAGTTAGCTATAGTCAACATTTAGTTTTTTTCTATTGTTAGTGTCGTTTTTTCTACAAGCGTAGATAAAAAAAATTGAAAAGATTTTTATCTTGTTACGCCAAAGAAGTATAACTTCTAACGCGTGTACACACACGTTTTTTTTATTACGCGCTAAAATATATATGGTAATATCGAAATAAGTTTGAAATGAAATACATAAATATTTCTAAGTACGAAAATTTCACGCCTAGGTCCCATTTCCGGGTACAACGATTGAGCTTCAGTAAATATACAAAAAATTGCCCTCATAAGTGCACTCTAAAGCAAATCCATTTTTTCGAACAGCATAAGGTTCTAGGTTAAACTAATTCAAGGTGAGAACAACCAGCCCGTGAGACACCACACATCTGTTTTATACTCCCAATAATTATAAGAATAATTGTTATATACATAAAAAATATTAGCAAATTCATATAACATTACCTACTTGATTAATGCTTTACTTTATGAATTTGGTTGTAACCGAACCGGAGTAAACATAGTTTCAAGCAAAGATTATCCTACGTATATATCTACAGAGATTTAAAGAATATCAGGAAAGTTATTCGTTTGTTACTACAGGATAAACTACTGATAAATAAAGTGTTACTCAATTTCAGGCCCCCTTAAAATTCCTAAACAAGGTGTTGCTAATGACTATAAAATATATTGGTATTTGTAGACAATTAGATAACGAATGTTTAATGGCTCAAACTATCACGACATCGACATAATATGACTGGCAATTTTGAGACAATGTGCGTATCAGCAAAATTCACATACGCCAACTATATTCGCAGTTATATAGAAATTAAGGAATAGTGGATGAGTTGGTTATTTAGGATATATTAAATTATACAAACAGACAGGTTTTTTATTATATAACTGTGTGATTTAAGTGCATGGTCGTTGCAAACGACGCAGTTCTCACGGCATCATTTAGAAATATAACATTTATTGCTATTATTTATTGAAAACTTTTTAACACTCATTTTATGAACTCGTCGCATAGCCTTCTGCTTTAATATTAATTAAATGCCCTTGGGTAAGTTTGGAAGTTAAAACCTTTATCTTCAGCCCATTTAATTATCCATCAGGCACAATCAAGACGTAGATATTTATCGAATATGAAATTGTTAAAAAAGGTCATAATTGACAACACTGGGAATTACCTTCCTTTATAAAATACTGAAGTAATGTCCAGATTTTTGGGTCATGCGAAACTAATTGCAAAATTCAGACCATTCAACATATCCGAATTGAACAAATAGGAATAAATAAACGGTAAATTCGAAGATTCTAAATGGTAAGCATTTAAATATACAAGGCACATAAATCCGATAAGGCTTTGAAAAATGACATTACTAGGTAACACGGCTGATCTCTTATCCACTATTTCCAGACAATGGCGTGCGGTCGTCAACATCATGACAATTTTAATGTAAGGTCAGTTACGCGTGTTGTATTATTAGCTTTTTAGTATTATGTCGAACTGTGTTTACATTTCAAGTATCATTCTGTTCACCTAATGTTATTTCTAGTGGTGGTATCCATGGAACGGGCTGTCCTTCTCACTATATAAAAATATATATTCAGGATGGCCAAAAAGTCGTGGATCAAACGCAAGTAGGGGATAGATGAGGTCATCAGCTGCAAAAAATTGTTCTACGGGAGGTCTCTAAGCTCAACCCCTGCAGAGTTATAATTTATTTTGTGTTTTATAATAAAGTTGACTTTTTTTTACTAATTCTTATTAAAATTCGAAAAAATATACATCTTGTATCTTTTTCATAATATCCACTAGATTGGTACTGATGAGTTCTTGCGTTGGACATACTATTTATAGTTGTTTATTGAGTGTATTGAAGATAATATTAAGTTATACGATATAATTTTTTTTCAAATCAAAACTTTTTGTTTACTTCGGACCCCACTGTGAAAAAAAAAAATACTTTACCGAAAAGTGACCCTGTATTACATGTTTTGGCGCATTTAATAGGGATTCTGAAATGGTATTACACATGGCCATATTATCTCTATTATTATGGCGGAGGGGCGATGGCTGGACTGGTCGGATTCGAATTCGAGGCTGCGATGATATTATTGCTTGCAATTTCATCCGATTCATCTTGATGTACCTTGTTGAATGTTGTTCTTGCTATAATATAAGTACTCCTACTTCCCAATGCCTACTGCTGATAGAAGCTTAACTAATAATTTATATAATGTCATGTGGAGCAAGATGGAATAATAATCTTGGAAAACCTGGTAATTAAAAAGTGTGTCGGAGTTTCAAGCCGGAGAACCGGCAGTAAATGTGTCAATGTAGTAATTATGTTTAGGGACATTAATTTTTTTGACGTTCTTAAGTGTATAAATGTTGCCTACTATAAATTTATAAAAGGAGCATCGTATGTAATTTATTTTTATTTTCACTTTTTCTATTATCAGAGAGCAGTTTTAGCCCAGAAGCTTTAGCGCGCGCCTTTGTGCGTTCGAATCATGGCGGTGAACTAATTTTTTAGCTTTTATTTATATTTGCACAGTTAACACGCGAACATCGTGAGGACGCCTAAATAATAAATAGGTGACAGAAGGCTGATCACCTATTATTTATCCTACACCAGATAGAGAAATCTGAGTCACAACATTCAAAACTTTCTATCAGTATCAATGCGGATATTAACATGAACAAAAAACTGTTATCTAGCTTATGTATCGTAAAAATTAGATTACCTACTAGCCATAAACATTATATGAAACGCCTTTTGTTTGCTCAATTGTTAGTGGTCATTATTCCAAAGTAAATGATATAGTAGCTAGATACCTAAAACTTTTAAGTTAAATATAATTAGAATACTATATTTCCGTTGTGTAAGCATAATCGCGCTAAGATGTTTATTCTAATCCAAATTAGCAGGTCAACATGAGATTACCATACTATATTTCCAAAAAAAGTTTAGTCTTCATTCCTTATGTTTAATATAAAACGGACAACGGTGCTGCAATAACAATGTTATTATTGCTAATATTCATTTTAATATTTTTTATCTATACGTTACCGATTATTTGTAACACACAAATTATTTAACATTAAATTCTCATGTCGTTATCACTACATGTATTTGATAAAATATTAGAGGTATTTCACCGGGTTTTTTAAAATATAAGAGGGGTCACGCCTCATATCTTCGGGTAAAATTCAGAATTGAGACTAAGCGTGAACTGTGAACTCCCTATGTCAAGATCCTATAAATTGTTGACATACGGGATTCAGATCTTTCTATGTCGAATTAAAAGGTAACGAATTTTTGTTTGTTTAGTCTTAGATCATAGTAAATTTTCTGTACCAAAGAACGCTATTTGAATTTAAATAATGGGATTAGTCACAAACCCTGAATACCTAAACCTGTAAAATCTTAACAAAGTATAGACATTAACAAATGAGCTATCATCCGACATGGTAATAGATAACATTTCGATTGAGATGCTATCAAACCGTAAAACTTAAAAAAAAAACAAAGAAGGCGTTTATATTATATTGTGCTTCGTGACCGATCGGTAATCAGCAGTGATTCAATAAAGATAATTATAGTCATTTGTATTTTAAATATTGTATCAATTTACATAACATGCGTCGATCTTTATCTAGTGTGGAAACATGATATACCACTTATAACCGCATCCCCAGAATTCTTTGTTTACGTCTGAATTAGTGGTAAAATTTGATTATTCACTAAAATAGTGAAGTTCGTATATTTGTACTTATGAAGGTAGTATTATATGCGAGCGATTCTTTACTTTATTGTTTATCTAAGTACATATTGTAAACGTATTCTGCGATTCAAACAATAAAAAACTTACGCGCCAAAACGTGACCAATAGACAACACGAAAGTAGACATTCTCGAAGTCGCTGAAAAAAGTTTCGCACAGATACATAATCCCTCATCATAACTTCACTTCACTAAACATATTTGTAAAACACAGGTAATTCAGCCTTTTAATGCGACAATGAAAGAGTGACTGAACATATCTTATCAAATACATGATATCAATGAAAAACGGCGTGGTTCGACAGATTAGCCAAGACCTTCATATCAATTTCTGTGGATAAGCTATTATAAATCTACAAAGATATTTCACAGTAAAACACTGGTTGCAAATCATATAAATTATGACTGCATCTAAAAGTTTAAAATTCAATTATAGCAGACAACCAGATATTAAGGTTAATTACAGTCATTAATAAAGGTAATTGACGAAACCTTTGAAAATCTCATTAAAATTTGACAGTCAATATAGGTTAAAAGATTATTTGTTTAACTTCTTTGTCTAATACTACTGTAATTTATATATCTTTTTAAATAAAAAATTGCCATCCTTTTTAAGTCATGTTCTAATAAGTCTTCATATCATATTATAAATAGTTACAAAATGGTGAAATAAAATCTGATCAGTTCACCATCACCTAGGATAAAATACCTACAGGACGTAAATATTCATAATATTAAAATATTTTACTGTGCATTCTACAGAAAACCGTTTTATATGTGTGTTATTTTATTTGTTAACATTAGATGTTAGGTAAGATAAATTATATTAAGTTTGCCAGGTGTCACACTACATTTAAAGTGTTGTAATGTTGTCATGTTCCCATGAAACCATATTTTTTAATATTTTCTTGTTATTGATTTTGATTGATGGGAATTGTGAAGCCTTAAATGTATATTATCTTCGAAGGTATGCCAACTGGCAATATGTACAACATGCTGTTATTTAAAAAAAAAAATACTAAATATTTTTACATAATACTTAATGTTGTTGTTGGCACATCATATTTTTTTAAGACTTCATATTCAAAGACAAACATTCACCTTTTTATGTTGTTGTCTTATAAGACAGGGAAAGATTATAATCTAATAGGTGTGATGGGTATTCTGAAAAAATAGACTCACCTTTGATGTTTGAGCATCACATTTTAATGAGAATATTAAAATCATAAGCTATATTTAAAAGATAGCTGTAAATTTATTAGTGGAGTGATGAGTCCTAGGAATGTTACAATAATATTCTTAGATTCTCTTAAGCTAGATAGTAATTGATAAGTGTGGCATGGATGCATAATAAAGAATGGTCGGCATAATACTGGATGTTCCTGTTGGGTTATAACAGAATAAAAATCCTTTTGGTTTATCCTGAAAAGTTATGGACTTATTAAAGTTTTACTATATTTTTTTCATACCTAGAAACAAATTTTTAATGCATAATTTTTACACTCTAGTCTTGGTATTTGTAGTATGCAACTTGTTAAGATTGACTTCATGATGAAGGAAAGAGGATAAATTAACTTTAATATACAAACTTACTCTGTAAAAGATATTTTCCTTATATCTTCCAAATTCAACAGCATTCCTGAAGAATCCCATATATTAAAACTAAATGAGGGTACACCATAGCTTAAATGGTAAAATATAACAAACTCGGCTTTAAGCAATTGTCCTTTGACATCAATAAAAGTGTTCTTCCGAATATAACTTTTACAGATGTCTGAGTTTTCGTACAATTTCCAATCATCATGAAGAAGATTAGACGTTTCAATAAAGGCTTTTGCTGAAGATAAAAATCCTTCTGCAGTTAATTCATATGCCATCTTTCATTAAGTATTAGAAGCGTAATTATTAAAATAAGCAAATATTAGAATAATAAGTGTGCAGTGTCTAATTACTTCAAAACTGTTCTATTAATGTTTTTAATTGCATTTTTAAGCGTTAATAATATCATATAATCAGAAATTATTTTCACATTCAGATTTCAGAACTCAATTTACAAATAACAAAACATGTACCACAGACCACTAAGCTCACAGATGAATAATTAGAAACCAGTGTCCTGAGTAAATCAAAAGAAGCACAGACTAAGTGCACACTAAGTTACAACATTTTATATTTTTGACTGTTGTTAAAGTTCAGAGACTGAATTAAAGAGGGCGTGATCAAATTTTAGGCAAAAATTCGACAATACCTTCTTCTCTTCCCTACCATATTAGTACTCTTGATCACAAATCACAATTCATAATCTGTGACGGCTTGTTTACTATATAAAATATTTTGAACTCACAAGTGTTTTGGTCCTGCAGCTAGAAATTATTTCTAAGAATTATGAGATGTATAAAATGTCTACATTGTTAATGTATACATTGATTCTATAGAAATCGTCTACCTATAAATAGTAAAAATAAGATTCCTTACTTACCATGAATCTTGAACTACTTGGTAAATATTTTTAATACACAAATATTTTTATCCTTGTTTAATTTATTAACTTACCACATATATGTTTCAGAATCGTTTGGTCAGAATTATCCAGAGGTATGTGGTCTTTAGCCAGTAAGACAAGTTAAATTCAAATATTTACCTTCAGGATTGGGGTTATATTTACTATTTGATTTGACTTTTTGCAGGAGTTTGATGGTGCACTAGATTCTATATCTTTAGCAGCAACATGTGCATTCAACAGACGTGGCACGTTATTAGCAGTAGGATGCAATGATGGAAGAATATTTATATGGGATTTCCTGACCAGAGGCATAGCAAAATCCTTATCTGCCCATGTATATCCAGTGTGCAGTTTAAGTTGGTCCAGAAATTGTAAAAAGGTTTTATTTTTATTACCTACTCCTACCTAACCTAGTCTAATACAGTGTAAACTCTTTATAAAGTCATTTGTTATAACGAATAACTCTTAATAATATAAAAATGGGTAAATTTATTTGATTTAACCCAATACCCATACATTAATTCTTCCCTCCCTATAACGAAACCTCTCTATAATAATAAAAATGCTAGGTCCCTTGAAATTCATCATAAAGAGTTTACACTGTATATACAGTAATGACTATATATAAGTAATCCAAGTCTAACGATTGTTCTTTTTTTGGAAGTAGGTATGACTAATAAGAACATATTATTTATTACAACATTAATTATTTTAATACATTAAAATTACAACAATTTACAACATTAAAATTTTAATACTTAATTATTTTAGTTAATAAACTTATTTTTGATGTGAGCTTAAATTGTTTCATTCTCTACAATGTTTAGTTGATCAGTTAATTAGATTCTTAAGTTTGATAATCTACTTCCTCTTCCACACTTAATTAAAATTATCTAAAGAAACTGCTTGATAATTATTCAATGTGGTATGTTGCAGCTGTTATCATCATCGACAGACCATAATGTCTGTATATGGGATGTGTTATCAGGTGAATGTGAGCAACGATATAGATTTCCAACGCCCATACAACGTGTTCAGTTTGATCCACGTAATGATAGACGTTTCCTTGTCTGCCCTATGAGGCATGCTGCGTTATTAGTGGATACAGAAGGGGGTCATAAAATATTACCAATTGATGATGATGTAAGTGAAAGCAATTGTAATAACACACTATAACACTCTCTGCTTTTTCCTTTACTTCATATTTATTCAAAATAATTGAATGCTGGCTTAACCTTTTATAGTTAGGTCTCAAATAACGAGATTAAAATTAAGATTAATTGCCGAGTTAGTTTTCCATTGAAAGAGTGGTACCTATATCAATTACTATTGCACGGGTAATTTCTCCAATAATTAAAAAAAATCTTTTATTTTAGGGTGATATTAATGTTATAGCTTCATTTGATCGTCGTGGTGACTATGTCTACACAGGAAATGCTAAAGGAAAAATTTTGATACTAGACTCACAGAAACTGACTGTTAAAGCAAGTTTCAAAATAACAGTTGGAACATCCAGCACAACTGGTATTAAAAGTATTGAATTTGCGAGAAGAGGCGAGTGAGTATTATACATCCTATTAGAGATGTCAAAATTTTCATTCTAGCATTTTTATTTTTCTCTTGATTATGTTTTCTTTATTTCGTTTAAGAAATTATTGAAACAACTGCTGCAATACTAATTATCTGACATATAATACACTATTAATTGTTAAACACGGAACCTCTTTGACCATGACATTGCAAAGATGTTATTACAACTTACGAGAATCGAAGTAGTAAACAATCTTGAAATAGTTCCAACATTATGTCTTGTTCCAGAGAATGTATTTAAATAACCTTATTAAACAACTTTTTGGAGATTATTGACCCCCCACCCCCCATATAACGCGCCGTAACGTTTTTAACCCAATAGTAAAAAGTTTCGTGACCACCCAGTGACTCTTTATACCTAAAAGTTACCATTATGTGTAAGTGTGTAAAGTACTGGAAAGTCGAAAATAATTTAACAATAACGCGTAATTTAATCCCCGCCCCGCATCGTAACGTTTTACACGAGGAAAAAAAATCGTTACATAATACTTGAACGCTCCATTAGTAGTATAATAGCCATATACAAATAATTCTGAAAATTACTGTTTTTCACATCTATTGTTGATTTAAAATATAAAAAAGAGAGAAAAATTTCGAATAAAATTAGGTCTGTTACATAATGATTTGATAACATTTAGAAGTTAATTTTGTTTTGTTAAAATTTTACGATCGCAGTTAAATTTAATAATAAAATATTCATTTGTGCAATTACTGTAGTATTAATTTTACTTCAAAAATAAAACCATTTTTTTTGATTTCCAGTTGTTTCTTGGTGAACACATCTGATCGTGTAATTCGTGTGTACGATACAAATACTGTGCTCAAATGCGGAGTCAATGGAGAGCCTGAGCCTATACAGAAGCTGCAGGATCTTGTTAATAAGTATGTTTCCATTAGCTATAGTATAGAATATATATATGGTATGGTAAAACCCGGAAATAATTTTCTAAGGAAAGCGCCATCTTTTTTTCAAAATGTCAAATGTCATAACTAATTTTCACTTTTTTATTTTATCTTTATCTTAAGACTAACAAATCATTCTTATTTGTAACTTCCATTATAATCTCATTATAAACTCGCTCATTCATTGAGGCTATATTTACTAGTTACAAGTTTAATTTAAATATAGACATTGATGGCTCTTCAATCATATTCATATGTTAAAAGTATTTTTCATGAAAAGTAATCCGTATCGCTTATATAATATTTTTCTTTTAATTCCTTCTACCAGGACGACATGGAAGAAATGCTGTTTCTCAGGCGACGGAGAATATATATGTGCGGGTTCAGCCCGGCAACACGCGCTCTATATTTGGGAGAAGTCTATCGGGAACTTAGTGAAGATTTTGCACGGCACAAAGGGAGAGATGCTTTTGGATGTGGTTTGGCATCCCATAAGGCCTATAATCGCTAGTATAAGTGCAGGTAAATACAAATTTATATGAATTAAACCGATTCAAATATGTATCTGTAACCAACCAGTCCAGTCTGCTTCAAAAATGTTGGAGTAGTTGTAGGAAGTAGGAATATTATTAAAATGACAAAGTATTCTATCTGTTTTCATTTCATTTAAAGAGAGGATTAAGTTTAAAGTTGAAACCTTGTAATAGGACTGAAATATCTTAATATATATGAATTACGTGTCACGTTGTTTGTCCGCCGGAGACTCCTAAACTACTTAACCGATTTCAATCAAATTTGCACACCGTGTGTAGTTTGATCCAACCTAAAAGATAGGATAGTTTACATCTCAATTTATACCCGCAATATTATTTTATTGAAAAATTATTTGTTTATTATTTGATAGTCACAATTCTAACAGATGGCGCTGTGTTGAAAGTACCAACGTTTCACATAAGCTAAAATTTAATGGCATAACCACGAAAAAAGCATGGTGGTCCCCAAGACTGGTGTTCTCCTACCGTTTCCCTTGAATAGTTTACTACTACGTTATATGACAAAAACCTTAGCCACAGCAACGCTTGGCCGGTCTGCTAGTTTTTTATAAAAAAAGATTCATTTATTCTATCTTAAAGATAGAATAATTGAATCTTTCTTAACAAGGTATTCAGAAAAAAATTTAATCACATTTCTATAAATTAATTATATTTATTACTTGTATAAATCTTCCTGAATATGTTATGTGAAATATAATATTAATAGAATAGGTAATTATAATCGGTCAAACCGAAAATCTGATTGTATCAATTGAACTAAAGTTGACCAATTACAATCAACCAAAAACATGTGAAAATTGCTTTATATTGTTTTACCTAAATATTATGGGCCTTTTACACTTATAAATATCACATAATCGGCTCCCAGTTGGTGTCTTCCCATTTCCCAAGTAGGAACGCCGGTAATGGTACTAGAGTCAGACTAATGAAAGAAGATAACGAAAAACCCGGCAAATTAAAAAAAAAATAGTATGGTATCCCTAAAAGTTTGATATATTTTGTGGATTAAACTTACTTGATACTTTATTTTATTTTATTATATTTTACATTGATAGTAACTGTATTTCTATGAAATTAAATGCTATACGTGTTTAGTCTTTTACTATTGATACTTAAAATGAATTGCATGGAAAACTAAAACTATATTTATTATAAAACACAACTTTAACCAGAATCCAAAAAACAATAAAACAAAGTTTAGGCTATAATATATAGTTTAGGAAATAAAAATGAGTAATTGCATGAAGTATCAAGACAATAAATCATACTAACCTAAGAAATTCAATGACATTCTGTGTTGCCATCTGAAAGTTTTCAAATAATTCAATTATCTTCTTTCATTAGCCAGACTCTAAAAAATAGGTGACAATTTTCGCTGGGAATCGATCCCTGTGTGGGTACTACGTAGCCCAAGTTTGTTCGTAATTATTATTAGTTATATAATGTAGGTGTGGTCTCAATCTGGGCACAAAACCAAGTTGAGAATTGGTCAGCGTTTGCACCAGACTTCAAGGAGTTGGACGAAAACGTTGAATACGAGGAAAGAGAGAGTGAGTTTGACGTAGAAGATGAAGATCGGTCCGTGGACATGTGTGGGGAAAGCCGGGATGACGAGCAAGTTGAGGTAAGTTTAATCTCTAATGCTCATTTTAATAGAAATCATTGCCCTGCATTATATTTTTCAAAAACTCAAAAAAAATGATGAAATAATTATCTACTAGCTGCCCCTGCGAACTTCCGTCTCGCCTTAATATGATTTTTTTACTAGCTTACATTTTTAGTAACTACATACCAACGTATGGAATATTTTGCTATGTTACCCCGTAGATTGTTCGCTTTTGCGGAATAATAACCTATGTACTAAATGAAACTAAATTTTTCAACTGTTTTTACTATTTTCCCGATTTTTCTCTCTTCTTCTTTTTTTTGTTTTGTTGGTTAAATTATACTTCGTTGTCTCAAATAACACAACCGTAATAAAAAAATTACGTCTCTTTCTCTCGAATTATGTTTACCTAAGTTAAAACGGTGCAATTAGACTACTTTATTTTTATAAATAGTCTATTTCCAATAAATGTTTTTAAGGTGGACGTAACGACGTGTGAGCCAGTGGCTGCATTCTGCAGCTCTGATGAAGAAGGGGAAGATGAGAATTTGTTGGCTTTCCTTCCTATTGCACCAGAGATTGAGGAACCTGAGGTAATAAAATATTTTTCATTTCTTTAAATGTTTTCGATTTCAAGAAATTACTAAAAATACTGTAAATATGATTATATTTGTATAGGATTGTATGTCTACATTCAACATATATATATAAAATAGTTGATACAATATAATATTTCTAACCTTATTATATTATAAGTACCTATTATGTTTGTGCACGCCGTCCGCACTTATTATCGAGGCCACACATTGATTATAAATTATATAACTTGTTGGCGCGGCTATAAATAAATAAATATATTCCTTTTAATGTTAATTTAGTCATACCTTGTATATATAGTGTAAATTCCATGTGTCATCGCTCAAGTTTACGTCTTACTTCCTAAAACATTCAAATAACTCCACTTTGGTGGGTTGTACACAATCATTTCTATTCGAAGAACGACCTACTATAGTGCCAAAAATGTACATCCTTTAGCGTCAGACAGAAGTAAAACGCTCGGAAGTCAAGACTAGAATGGTCATTTATTTTACAAAATTGTTTCCTTAAAATAATAGTAAATCTAAACAAAAATTCCGCGAAGATAATAGACATACCGATGCCGGTATCGGCTTATTATATGATTGCACCTGCAGCTACACCTTTTAAAACCTGATACAAAGTCTTTATTAAATTATTTGCTACATTTAATTTGAATACATATTTTTAAGGATGGCTGGGCAGCAACGCAAGAGACAGTCACGCCTACAGAGACGCCTGAGAAACTGCTACCGGCCGCTAAGAGACCACGCACCAGTACATACGATATAGCACTCAACATAGATCCGCCTGGTAGGCAAAAGCTTCTATATACAAATAAACTATGCCCCAGTTTTTGAGTTTGTATTTTTATCTCTTCTTTCAGATCAACCGATGGCTTATGGAGGCAAGAATAAGCAAGCGGCTGGGAGTAAAAAGGTTGCCGGAAGGCCTAGGAAATGAATGTAAATAATAAAATGAATCTGAACAGCAAGTCATGAGTTCTCATTTCAATAAAAAACGTTCAACCATTTTTATACGTTTTATTTAAGTATTCGAAAAAACTTGTATAAAGACAAAAATTGGAATATTAGAAAAAAATATATAATTAATATTATGCTCTATCCCCACTCAATCGAAATGATGGCGTTTGGTGCTTAGATGCAACATCCACCAAAACTAATGGGAATTGCTCAACCTTGATTTAAGTGTAATCGACATCCAGAATAAAATATGTATATTTTCATGTAACGGTGCAGACGGCACGGTTCATATATCTTATTCTCTAAAGCCAATGCATAAATATCCAAACTCATGTTTTAAACCCCCGAGTTTGTTTCGACATTTCTTCTCAGGGCAGTCAGTTAGGAAATGTCGACTTCATCTAGTTTAGGATGACATTGTAAAAGTGATTTATATAGTCCTACTTGCAAGAATAAACTATTTCATTTCATTAAATCCCTACATTTTATTATTGATATAATAGGTACATTGAAAAATATAATTGATACTAAAAACATATCGAATAAGATATGTTCCTATTATTTAAATATTCTCTACGGTCTGCTTTGTAAAAAATGTATAAAGCTGAAACTTGGACGTGGTTTATAACAAGCACCTAACGCATATCACCGTTTTGAGTGTTCGTTGCGTTGCCTTGGTTAACTTTGTAGATTTTTGGGCCAAATACGGTGCACAGGAAAAGAAAAATGTAGGAGAAAAACATTTATTTTGCAAAAAGAAATACCTCTGTAATAAAATTCACATTAGAGTATACAATAAGTACTTATAATTCTGTATATAAATAAATCTCACTTAATTAAAAACAAAATAATACATTCGTATTCGAGGACCAAATGAAACCTAACATTATAATCACAGCGAGCGTCTAGGCGTCTGCGCCGTCGTCGGTATAAATACAATTATCTATATATTTACAGTTCATCATCTAGTCACTACGCATCTAAGTCATCTTCGCGCTGGCTCGAGAAATAACTGACTAAGCCACCGAATACACTTCCTTCATCTCTGGGAACATTTCCCTCTTCCCGAACCACGTTTCTCATCTCCCGAGGGATACGACTTCCCTCCGGTTGGGAGATTTCGGGACCCTCGGGAATGTCACTCGGTTGCTCTACTTTAATATTGCTTAACTTAATCGCTACATCTTTATTTACATTTTCTTCCAAGTCCGGTACGACCGGCTTAGTTTCGGGAGGGGACTCGGGCGGTTCCTCTTCCCTCGGAGATTCAGTCTCGCGGGACTCTAATTCGTTTGGGTCGGGGGAAGGTTTTCTGATGAGCACCGATTCTCTCATCTGCATTTGTTTATTGACGTCACCGTATTGCGCGAAAGGCGGAACAACCGGGCTAGCGTGCTCGGGCCCCGGAGGCCGAATCGGCATTCCGTAAGGAGCGCGAATCTGAGGCCGCATAAACGGATAGTGGGGAGGCAGATCGTGACCCATCAGTCGTTCTGGGCCACTCGGTCTTATCATATCTGGGTGGGACCGAGACATGTCACGAATCAGATTTCGATCAGGATACCTAGATAACTCTGACATTTTGTCGGGACCTGGCGGCCGTAACATATCGTGCACGGGACGATCCGGGCCAGAATGTCTGATAGCATCATGTATGGGACGATCCTGTCCAGGTTGCTGGATAAGATCAAGCGCAGACCTATCGGGTCCAGAAGGCCCCAACACGTCGGCAGGCATCGGCCTGTCAGACGGTCGAATGTCGTGTGCTCTATCTGGAGCAGGCTGTCTTGCGATATCGTGCATAGAACGGTCGTGTCCCGGTGGCCTTATCATATCATGCATGGGGCGGTCGGGGCCGGGATGTCGAGACATTTCGTGATATCTCATGTCGTGGGGTATATTTCTTTGGGGAGCCGTAGGCCGAGGTAGAGATTGCAGTTGTGGCTGTGTCGTCGAGAATCTGTTTTCCGCCATAGAATCGGATGGGGGTCGGTCTAGCGGCGACCTCGACATGTCGTGCATAATAGGTCTGATGGGTGCCCTAATCATGTCGTGCAAAATAGAGCCCTCAGTAGTGGGCGGTCTATTAACTTCGTGCATAATGGGCCTGTCGTGCCGCATCATAAATTTATCTGGACCTGTGGCTCTGAGCATTTCGTGAAGTCCTCTATTTCCCGGATGTGTGCTGTCGTGAGGTCTCTCGGGCCGCAAGACTTCGAAGGGCATCCTTTCGGGAACTGAAAGTGGACTTCTAGAAGGTGACCCTCTGGAGTCCCCGTGAAGGTACGGCGGGACGTTCCCCATGCGATGCAATGGATTATGGTGCAGACGAGCCTGCAGTACTTCGGCTTGCGAAGCTGGCGGAGCGTAAGGACCGTAGGGACCGTATTGGGGCGCGTACGGACCTAAGGGTCGAGCTTTGTTCTCTGTGTGTTTGATCCTATTGCGAGGAAGATCAGGTGAGGCCGGTCGCTGCGAGGGTGAAACCGGGGGCGACTGATACTCGGGCTCCGTTTTCACTTCCGCTTTTATCTTGACAGGGAAGTTGTCAGGCGTCGGGGAATTCTGTCTGTTGGGTGAAGCGTTCACTTCGCTCGGGGGACGGATTAGCATCGGTGGGTTTCCGGGCATCCCGGCTCGGACTGCGGCTTGCATACCCGGGGAGGGACCGTGCGGGGACGAGGCGGGATGCACGTGAGGTACGTTGGGGCCGTGGGGAGAGGACGGCGGAGGTCCCTGCCCTAACCCGGCGGGTAGATGCGGCGCGTGAGGAGATTGGGACATGGCCCCGTGAGGAGATTGCGACATGGGTCCGTGGGGGGATTGCGACATGGGTCCGTGGGGGGATTGCGACATATGTCCGTGCGGGGACTGAGACATAGGACCGTGGGGCGACGAGGCGGGCCCGTGCATGCCGGACGGGTAAAGGCCGGATCCTTGAGAGTCAGGCCGAGGCGGGCGCAAGGGGTATGAGGTCGGATGGGGGCCTTGGGGGCGATAGACGGGCGGTCGGTGAGGAGGCTGAAGGGGGCCGTGAGGGGAGGATACCGGTGGGCCGTGGGGCGGATTAGCGACGGGGCCTTGTGGGGAAGACGCCGGGCCGTGGGGAGGCATAGCCCCGGGTGGGCCTCCTCTTGGATAGTAGTATTGGGGGTATGGAGGCCGGCCTTGCGGCCCGAGCCCCGGGTGCAACTGATACATCATGCCTGATTGTCCACGTGGACCATACCCTGAACCACCTGGTGGATACATCATTTGACCCCTGAAATAATTTAGACATAAATCATATACTGTCTTCACATTTAATTTATTAAAGAAATTAAAAACAAATTACAATTACAAATAATTGTTTGTAATTTTCCATTAATTAAATTTTTTTTTAACAATTTTATCTGATCTAGCTTATTTTCGATCATTCTAGATATGGTTTGGCAATGGCAAATGGTTAGCGCGTAGTAGAAATGAACTATTATATCTCGTGACTGACTGAACACTGACCTATAGTGGTGGTTGAGAACGTGCGGCATTCGCGTGATGATGCTGGGCTCCTCCGAAACTGGAGCAAATGGCTGAGGGGATCCCGCCACTGAGAGAGTCCCTGACGGACATAGATATTTTTACATATGACAAGGACACACGTTTTAGTTCAAACCTAATACAATGTCAGTTTAATTATAAAACACAAAAAATTGCAACAGATTTATGGTCAAAAAAATGTGTGAAAGTTAAAATATTAATACATATATTGATAACTGTTCTGGAAGTTCTGCCTGAACCCGAGGAAGTCATAACTTAATTAGAAGATTCAAATAATTTAGCTATTGGTCACAATATATACCCTCTCTCATAACGTGATGATGGTCTGGCCTCATCACCATTCGGTCCTCGCCTCCGGCCATTCCGCGTAACTCGGGACGGACCTGGAAGCATAAACTTATTAAATCTTAATTCAACAACAGAAACGGGTCTGTTTCATAACTTTTGTTTATTTATCGGTGATCAAAAATCTACAAGCTTACATCATTTTTTACAGGTTACAGTTTGTAGTGAAATATATTAACTTTCTTATGTATATATAATATATATATTTATTGTGAAGGACCAAATTTAAAAAGTCATTTGAGATTTAATTTTTTGATATTATTAATTATAACATAATTGTATAATAAGGCCAGCAAACATACTCTCAAAATCATAATTCTGAGAGAGAAACTGCATATCAAATGTTGGAAACATTGCTAACACAACTATGGTTCTACTTTTAATGAGAACCTAAAAATTAGATTAATTAATGTGATCTGATTATAAAATTGCACCATAACAACCTTTCGTTTTATAAATAAATAAGCTCCAATACATTATATTTTCAAGAATTTTAGAATCAAACATAATCTAAAACAAATAAATTCTACCCACCTGCAACCGGGGTTGTTGATTATGTTGATAGCGTTCAGGGAAATCCGGCGGCCGACCACCTGGGAACTCTGGCCTTGAACCTGGATAATCCGGCCTGGGTCCTGGATAGTCTGGCCTTGCACCCGGATAATCTGGGCCTCCACCCGGATAATCCGGTCGACCCATGTAGGCTTCGCCAGGAGGGCGTGTTAGCCCGCTCTCTCTTTTCAAACGTCGACTCTCTTGTAAGGCGAGCTTCGCTTGTTTTTTCTCTTCCCTCTCTTTTGCTTTGAGTTCTTTTAATTTCTCTTTCTCTTCTTTCTTCTGCATTCTTTCCATTCGTCGCGCTTCTTTTTCAGCTTGTTTTGCTTCACGCTCTTGGCGTTTCTTCTCTCTTTCCAGCTGAAAAATTTATAGTTTCAAATGACTTATAGAGAACATTCTATTATTATTGAACTATGTTGATTAAGTGTAACATAATACAAAACTTACTTGATTAGGGGTCAGGACCGTGCTGTCCGTTCTTAGATCTGGAGAATAAATTAATTAAAATATTACTATCCTTTGAATAACTATGTTATGAAA